CGTTTTTCAAGTGAAATTGATCGGGCGTTAATTTGAAATCAATTTTCAAGCATTTTTTTTCTCTTTCATTTTCATTATTTCATTATTTCTATCAAAACCATATGCTTAAAAAATTATGGTAAATCATCATACGGATGATTTTTCACGATTTCGTATGTGCTGCGCCTTTTGTTAATTTTTTTTTATTTTTGGGCCACCATTTCGATTCGAAGGGGGGCTGATATGTGCGCTACATTCAAATTGAAACTAATTTTAATGGATAAAAACTCACAGCTATTTATTTAAAGCAAAAAACGGTTTAAGTGCCAAATTACACACTTGCAATGAGCGAGTATGGCACACAAAAGCGGGCACGCTTCGAATTTCGATGATGATTGTTTCGCGCGGATCATGTATCCGCTGTGCTGAAGTTGTAATTTGTAATTCTTCTTTCACTCCCTTAATTGATTGTTGCTCTCTCTCTCTCTCTCTCTCTCTCCTTCTCTCTGTGTCGGTCGGTTTTCATTGTCTGGCACAGCATCATGAACCATTCCAAGCAAATGGAAGATGAGCTGGATGCGAAAATTCAAAGAAATTCGGATGAAACCCGAATTTCGTCGCTCGATTTAATGAATTGTTAGACCCGAAATTTTTCATTCTTCGTTCCAACATGAAATTAATTTCGAGACGATCTGAAAATGGATATTGTGGCCGTTGCCGCAGCAGCAAAAAAAGGTTTCGATTACATTGTCTCTGTTACACCCATCATCGACCGCAACACGTTGTGAATCAAAATAATTGCTGTACTTTGAGTAATGGCAGAACACAACACACTAATTCGTAAGCTTAGAGCCGAGTGTGTGTGTGTGTAAGCCCGCTTTGCTCGCTCACAAAGAGAAATCAGCTTAATAAATCAACGCCGAAAAAAAGAACTACAACACAATCATGATAAATTTTAAAGAGAAGAAAAAAATTATCGCTATTTATTCATAACCGAAGCTGAATCTACTCGTATGTGCGCCGTGTGTGCCTTTTGATTGTGGTGAGCCATACAAATATGGATGTTAAAATAACATACACGATTCCATGTAATGTGCATTGAATTTGAACAAACGGACAAAGAGAAAAAAAAACCTTCGAACAAATCAGAGCAATCAATCGTTCAGTTTTTTTTTCTTCATTGAGGAGTGAAAAAATGATTATGATTCATTTGAATAAATGAAATGAAAGATGAACAATAATAATTCGAAGACGAAGACAAAAAACGGCTCTGCTGCGCTGAAGCACAAACAGCAGAGACAAGGAAAAAATGACGAGAAAATCGTTAAGGCTATTGTGTGAATGCGCAACACACAGGCTCCACACATGACTATATTTAGTGTGTTCTAAGCATATTTCCTTCTCCTTTTCGTTCGCTACTCCAAAAATGATATGAACGATCATGAAGAGTGAATACGCGAGCGCGCGCGCTCCCATAACTTTTTTTTTCGCAAGCACAGCATTCTATTTCATTTGTCTTTGTACTGACTACGAAATATAGACGCATAAACGATACTAATCACTTTATATGGTCAAAACAGCGTGCGCGTAATTTCTATATTAAAAAAAAATATCTCATAAAGCAACATATGTTCAACACATTTTTTTTCGACTCGAATTTCTCTTACAATCCGTTTCGGCATTGTAATAGGTCTGGTTTATTTTTTGTTCGCGCTCATCCGTTCTCTCGAAATTTCCAAATTCAAATATATCGACTGGAGCTATCTTGCGAAGCGACGAGTACATGGAATCAATGATTAAAACCAGTCTCGCATTAATCATGTTGCTCCGAAAAAATTCAAATTACATACACACATTTGACAGAGTGACTTAGACAAGAAAATGCAAGGCACGAGAGAATGTCAATGAAGAAAAAAACAGTTTTGAATTAGACACTAGACGTATACACTATACAACAATATTTCTCATTTCTCAGCTGCAAAATTGACGATTTCCATTAGCTGAATTTACATAAATTCTCATTTTTTTCTGCTAATTGATTGCATTTTTCTGCGTCTTTGTTCAGACGACTTCAACAAACCTCTGATGAAAGAAGCATTTTTAAGCAAGCGCTCAGACACACGATTCTTATTTGAATTACATGACGGTTTTGTTTTTAGTATTTTTCTTTCAAGTTGAAACAAAATGATGAGTGACATTTGATATTTCTGCATACATCAAGGTAGTCGAGTCATCAAAATGCACAAAACATAAATATTTTTTCTGATTTTTGCTGACAAGATTTTCAGAAAGATTTCCATCTAAAATGAGCGTGCGCGAGCGCATTTTGCGATTCTCACGAATATCCATAACGGAATGAGACGCACTTCGTTATATTTCGGCTACGACGACAACAGCAACTATTTCTCTGTCGCAGTCACAAATGGACCATAACGAAAACACAGGCCAAGTGAAATATCAACAAATAAATTTATTTAAATTGAAATGCATTCAAGCAATTCAGTTTATTGACGTTAACGTCGTCGTTGTCATCGTAGTCATCGTCGACGGCTGTAAAAATACAGAAGTTCTGTTTGTGTTTTGTTGGAGCACTTAATGCACTTGAATCTCAAACAAAACAACCTTTGATGAGGTCATTTAAATATTTAAAAAAAACGCTACTTCATGCATATTTCAAATGCGGAGAGTAAGTCTAAGCGAGCAGAATTCGCAAAAAAAAGAGAAGAGCGAGAGAGAATATAAATAAAAAACCAAAAATGGAATCAGATATATGTACTGCAAACCGACATGACATATATGATGAAAACCAACAAACAAACGAAGCACCTTTTGAGGTCACATTGTGGTTTGCGCTGTGTAAGCTAATACATACGCACCTTAAAGCGCTTCTAATAAAAAATATCCCAATGCTCACGATACAATTTCTCAACTTTTCCATATCAAAATCTGTATGTTTGTGTCGTTGTTGTTTTTTTCGCGAGCAATTGTTGGCTGATCGCATTATCGGCTTGCTTGCTCGCTCATTCGCCACAGCTCGTGATAACAATTGGAAATGCCATAAACTACTCGGTATATATAGTAAATATTTGTTTTTTTTCTACTACGACGACAACGATGTCGACGAATCATACACCAAAATTTATCGATTTTATTCACATTTTTGTTCGTTCCGTCAATCGAACTTCGAAACGAACTGGCGATTGTTCGCTATTGACTCACAGGCACATTTTGTAAAACGATACACACATGTGCACCGTATACATATAAATGCCATTGTTGAGAGAAGGCAAATCTATACGGGCAAATTATCGACGCTCTAAATTATGATTTTCGTCGTTATTGTCTCGAATATATATATATATATATATATATGGCCTCGAATAATACCTCTAAATGGATTTGCTCATTCTCAAACGAATTATAATATAATCACGTTCAAATTCGACTCAATTGATACGAAACTGTACTTGTTTGTGGATTTTTTTCGGATGGGACATTGAAGCAAAATAATGTAAAAGTGGTGATTAGCTATAAATTCACTGTGCAGTCATTGCAATTTCTGGAAAAACTAGAAAACTAGAAATCAGATTCATTCGTTTGGAATGTCGGATGAAGGAAAAATGTTGCTATCAACAACCATACAGCTGATATCACCGGATACAGTGTGTGATGTGTGTGATACGATTCCGAAAATAGTCAACAATTTTGGCAGTCATACATCGAATGATATCAAAGAAATCACTCGAAATTTGGCATTTTCAAGCGAAAACCCGCTGCGAATGCGTCAAGCAAAATGTCGCACATGACGGAAATTTGATTATAAAAATGTGTCAAATAAAACGAAAAGAAATAAAAACAAGAGAGAGAGAGAGAGAGAGAGAGAGAGAGAGAGAGAAAATTTATCAAACAAACAAACACCAAAAGATTTTAGTTCAAGAATTTTGGCATTTTTCGGGGTTTCAATAACATTTTATTCTAAAAGCAAAACTGTGCCATATTTTTCTCTGTCTACTGTAAACAAACACAGCGAGCATTTGAATCGGCTAATTTTTGACACTGAATGATGTAATCCATGCGTTGCGTATACTGATTAAATGCCATTGTTTTGGCGCAGATGTGTGTATGTGTATACGTAATTCAATGCCATTCTTATCAATGTTTATCATAAACAATTTCTGTTTCGTTTTGTTTCTTTTTTTTGCGTGTGCACAACGTGAACGTTTTGTAAGTGGAATTTTTTCCATATTTAAATAACTGAATCAACGAAGTATATTATTTGATGTATGTGACGAACCGAAATTGTTGAGATTTAATGAATCGAAAATTGAAATTGTTTTAATGAAAATCGATTAGGCTCAAAGCGATTTATAAAAAAAAACGACAAGACAAAATGAAAAATTATGATACAAAAAAGCAAACGAAATTGAGCATAATATATGACATTATAACAAATGATTAGCAAGGTACGATGAATTCATTCTCATTTTAATCACACCCAAAAACGGAAATCGCTTCTGACGAACACGCACACACATGCAGAACCGAAATCGATAAACAAAAAACAATCGGAATATGATTACAATAGCGATGAGCTTTTTATAAGCACGTATTTTTTCGGCCCTCATACACACGCACCGAAAAACGTCAGCGCGCTTGTATCGTGCACAGCTGTCGTGTTAATCTCAATTAAGATTTTGATACATCTGTCTGTCGTTGTCATAATCGGCGATAATTCATCAAAATGTGTTCGAATGAGTCATCAGTCTCTTTCAATCAGAATGTGAATTTTGCGCAACCACAAAACCCTACATTTCATATCGCATCAAGAATGTGGTGGATTGAAATTAATCAATTCAACGCAAATGCAATCATATTTTATTTTAAGAAAATCAGGAATAAAAGCGTTCATTTGCATAAATTAACACAAGCACTGATTCCATATGTATTGGATGACTAAAGCGAAGTGAAAAAAAAGACGATGAAGAAAACGAAATGCGTTCGGCAACATCAAAGTACACGAATTTTTACGTAAAATAATCTCTCCATTTTTTTTTCTTTTATTCAAACTATCCCGAACAATACACACAAATTAATGATTGTCACTATTGTGGCTGTTGTGGCGATGCGGTGGTGGTAGTGGTGTCATAAAATTGCTGCAGGTCACCGTTGTTCACATTGTTTACATTATCGTACAGTGCGTTCAGGATTTCCATAGTTTGTGGGAATATTTCGTTCATTGATGGCATAACATTTGCCAAATCGGTGCTGGCACCGGTTTCGCCCGTGCAAAAGCCCAAATCATTCAAATTAAACGAATCACATTCAAAATGAAGCATTGACGACGGCGACGACAACGACGACTGGTTTGGATTGATGCCATTTTCGGAATTGTTCGCATACAATGATGCCGTTGATTCGGACGGATTTGATTCGATTTGATCGACGATACCCATTCGATTACATGATTCACTGATGAGTTCATCCAGTGACGGCGAACATGCTGACATATTATTCGGTTGGTCATCGTCATCGTTATCCATGAAGGTCGCATCATTGTTGTTCCGTGCTGACGCTGTCAGCTCGTTCACTACAAATCCACTGCATTTGTGTGTTCGCAACGAAATTTTATAGCGGAATTTTTTATCACACATTGTACAATTGTACGGCATAACTCCGGTCTATGTTTAGAGAGAGAGAGAGAGAGAGAGAAAGAGAGGACGAGTGAAACAAATTTGATGTTCAAAAAGATTTAGTATTATGGGAATGGCACTGTTTTTTTTCTATATTGTTGCTGTGTTCGTCAGCTTTGGAAGTTTGACCGAATTTGGTGCCAGCTTCCGGACTTTTGACATTGAAGTTTAGCTGACTTACTATTTATGGTCAAATGAACGTTAAAATAAAAATTTATACTAACATGAATGCGTCGATGAACCAAATACGAGACTCGCTGACGAAAGCACTTACCTAGATATTTACACAGAGGAAATGAGAATGAGAAGAAGAGAGAGAGAGAAAAAAGAGAGAATGAGTGTGAATTAATAAACGCACACCGCGAGAGATATGACAAATGGATTTAATTTTTCAAATAGAATTAAGCGGAAAAAGTCGTTTTAAGCGAGGTAAAATGCTTTTTCATTTGGATATTATATGCTATAACCAACCGCATGTTTCGCATTCAAACGGTTTTTCGCCGCTATGGATTCTTTGATGATTGTGTAATGTGGACAGTTCTTTGAAGGCACGTCCGCAAATCGAGCAACTATGTGGCCGATCATTTGTGTGATACGATAAGTGTCGATGATATGACTGTTGAAATGTAAACGTTCGATGACACAGCTCGCATGTGTACGGCATTTCACCTGAAAAAAAAAAACAAGAAAAATGACGCGATGGCGTTTAAACATAAAAAGCATACGGTCACTGTTTGATTGCTGTTGCTGTTGTTTGCATTTCGGAAAGAGTGTCATAAAACTTATCGAACACACAGTACCCAATTTACCTGTATGCAATCGCTTGTGCTTCTTTAAAAAGTATTTGGTCGTAAAGCGTTTATTGCAAAAATCACATTTATGAACACGATCTTCGGTGCTGCTGACGACGACGATCATCTCTTTACTGTTATTGTTTCCGTTGGTTGTTGGGCTTCCAATGTCTTTTTGTTTACTGCTGCCGTTTCCACTGCCACCACAGCCAAAAGTAACAACATCACTTCGACCATAATTACTGTAGTAATCACATTGATTGTTATGAACGAGTGGTAGATTGGTTGAGTTCACATGCGTCGCTGCTGCTGTTGTTGTTGTTGTTGACGATGCTGATGGTATCAAATCACCTGTTCTCGTTTCGTTTTCATTGTTTCCTGTCGATTGCACCAAATTATTATTCTCCATTTCGTGTGCATCGGGTGTTGTGCATATTTTTTGCGGCGATGCATGCGATACACCGTGAACCATGCGAACATGTAAACGCAACGAACCAATCATTTTAAAACGTTTCGGACACAAATAACACTGTAGCATGGTCGGTGAAATTACATGTGCGTTAGCTAATTCACTGTCTTCGCTCGAAGGACGGATATTTATCTCGTGCACCAATTGCATATGCATTTGTTGTAGCTCTTGCGTACGAAACGAACAATTGCATAAATTGCAAACGTATGGCGGTCGAATGATTCGATCGATATGGTTAGAATTATTAATACTTGGCTGCTCAACGTCGTGCACCGACAACAACACTGGTGACGTAGCATCTAATTTTTGTGTCACATTTCCATCACTTATTATTCGCTGCTCCGTCGCATCGAATTGATTTACTCCACTTTGCTTTGATTCACTCGCCGTCGTTTCATTGTTTATATTTATGTTCTGAATGACGATGTTTGCGTCACGCGCAGGTACACTGTGACCAATTTGGCTGGGTATCTCAATGTGCTGTGTCAAATGTGTTGCCAAATCGGCGATACTGTGTTGTATATCGTTACATATGGGACACATCAATGGTCGATTCAATACACTGATCAAACTGGCATGTAATAGATCGACACTGGAAAAACACGATTGACAACACAATGGGCATGACAACATTGTCATTATCACGATTCACTTACGCAAATACGAATTTATCCTTTTCGAACGAAAGAAAAAGAAACGCACACAAAAATCGAACTCGAGCAAAATTTTCCCATCCACGCACGCTCATACACATTTGACGTTTGGTTGGATGGAGCAAGCGAGAGAATCGTGTCATTTTCTCAAGACTTGTGCTATTAGCGGAAAATGCAAGGCAACTACTGATCTCACATAGTGTCTTTGGCTTATGCTTTTGCACCAAATCCAATGAATAAAAATAGAATCGCTCAGTAGCGACGGCGACGTCAGTTGGCGATTGCGCATTGAGCGATCGTGAACCGTTTCTGTCAAAGCGTCACTCACGTGCCGTTTGTTTAAAAATAAAATTTCAGTTAAATTAAGACAATTTGAAAGTTTTTCATCGATTTTAATTGTTTTCTTCTTTTTTTTTTGGTTTTCCAGATCAATTCGAAGTACAGCGAAGAGCTGGCAGCAGAATGCTTGGAATGGGTGAAAGAGATCACCGGTGAGCCGATTAATACCAGTGGTGATATGGATAACTTCTACGAAGTGCTTAAAGACGGTGTGATTCTGTGTAAATTGGTGAATGCCATTAAACCGGGCGCCGTCAAAAAGATCAACGAAAGCAAAATGGCATTCAAATGCATGGAAAATTTGACTGCTTTCGTCGATGTGTGCATCAAAACATTCAATGTACCCAATCAAGAGACATTCCAAAGTGTCGATTTGTGGGAGCGACAAAATTTGAATGCCGTTGTCATCTGTTTGCAATCGCTGGGCCGAAAGGTTGGCCAATACGGACAACCATCCATTGGACCAAAAGAAGCCGATAAGAATGTACGTCAATTCAGCGATGAACAAATGCGTGCCGGCCAAACCATCATCTCGCTTCAGTATGGTTCAAACAAGGGCGCAACACAAAGTGGTTTGGTCATGGGCAATACGCGTCACATGTAACCAACACATCAGACCCAATCATTGCGCACACATGACAAACATTCAAAGGAAGATCCGCACTCGTTTTCTTCATGAACAAAAAACAAAACAAAAAGACAAAAATGAAGCAAAACCTTGAACTGGATTTAAATTTTACATAAATAATTACTCTTTTTTTTGATAACTTAAAGATTGTACACGTGTATATTGTTGTTCGATGTGAGTCGTTTTTGCCATAACAGGAAAATTGCGTTTTGCCGCAAAACACATACATTATAAACAGACAAGAAAATTTACTCTGGAGCAATTACCAGCACAACACACACACACACACTTTATGAATGATTTAATTTACATTTTGAAATAATTTAGAATATTTCACATTCGAAATAGATTCAAAACATTTCCAAATTTAATTTAATGAAAGTTAAAAAAAAGACATTCTTCAAATTCATAACATTCCCCGTACGACAGCGTACAATCAACAAAATGAAAAAAAAAACCATTACATGTTACGAAGAAGAGAAGCAAAACAAATGTATCGTGAATGAACAGTTCCCAGAAACTAAATTATTATTATTTTCTCCATTTTCTTTTTGTACTTATGCTATAATTTCTTCATTTTCTCTTGAGATAAACAACAAAAAATAAAGGACACTTTGTTAAGGATTTCCGATCGCACAAGTCGCAATGCTGATATATGAAATAAAAAACCTTTATATGTTATCACAATATATTATTAAAATAAACAAACATACAAAAAAAAGTATAAATAATTACAATATTGATTCCACTCATGTCTTTTTCAATTGTGAAAAGAAAACGAAAATGAAATTTTCCAGGCAAGCAATTTGATTTCTATTCGATAAATTATAATAAAAAGCGATTTAAATAAAGTAAAGAAAAACAAACAAAAACAATGCGTGTGTTTGTGATTTGATTTCTGATGACTTTTACCTACTTCCAGCCCCATGCATCATGGCTTTTAACATGGGACAAAATCGTTTGAAGCCGAGCTAAAGAGAGAGAGAGAGAGAGAGAGAGAGAGATTGTAAGTACTAAGCAGATGAACAAACACGAATAAAACCAAATGGTGATGATTCGAATTTATCTGTGCTTGTTGGAGCAGAAGGGCAATTTTCCCGAAATTGATTTATTGAATCGAGTCGTCCAGATTGCAAACACAATTTTGTATTTGCCAAATCGATGGGAAAACATTTTCTAGTATTCTAATCGCATGTTGACCTAATGCACTGTCGCTCTAGTGCCGTTGCATTGCGCTTGAATGGTGCCAGAGGAAATATAGACGAAATTTGTCGAACTCGCTCATACTCACTGTATTCCCTGGTCTCGTTCTCTTTCTTGCTTTCTCTTTTTTCGGCGAATACATTTCGAATTGTGTGACAAAATGTCCGAGACTGCATTGGCATCGAATACAATAAAAACACAGCACATCGCAATGTTTCGTCCTGGAAAATACCTGAGATTTGGGAACAAATTGTTTATTTATTCCTTCGCTTTGCTGCCAATGAGCATTAAAAACGAAACAAATAGTCTCATGAGATGACATGGTTTATATGAGCTTTCCTCTCCAGTTTTCTCGCTCATTCTTACCTTTTTTTCACCCATACTCATTCACAGTAGTGCCTGTTTCTGAAAAATACCATCCGAAATTCCAACTGAAACTGTATGTATTCGCTCTCGTTGTCATTTGTTCCATAAATAAGATGGCAGCAACATTTAGTGTATCTGAGGAAGATGCGAATTCGAAATAAAATGTGCATGAATTGGAAGCGTACAAAATATCAAGTGAAGTGTAAACTGCTTGATATCAAACATAGAAAAGATCGAAAGGCTTGCATAATCTGTACGTTTTCGCTTCAATATTTACCCCACCGTCACCAAATAGGATATCTACCGGTAAATTTCCCGTATTTTCTAGAGCATACATACGAAGCGACAATGCCAATGAATAGAATATTAGGTATAGGTATGCTTGAAAATGCACTTGATGCAGAATAAAGCTCCATTTTGAACGTGATTAGAAATTTTCAGTATATGACACTCGAACGGCGCGCTCTACCATCGCTACCGCCACCGATGACGTTCATCTCATGTGCCCTTAATAGAAAATTCAATGCATAACTCTTTTTGAATGTTTCGACTATTCGCTATGGTCTCGACTCATTCTCTCTTCTGTTCTCACGCTCTTTTCTTCTCGATGTCTGTCGTTCTCTTGTTCTCTCGCTCTTTTCCCCCATTCAGCCGAGCCTGAGAGGCGAACGTGAAATCAATAACTGTTACAATATTCTAATAAATGCATATTTTCTATGTAAATATTTCGTCTATTATCATCCATTGAACGATACCAGAAGAGAGGGTGTGTGAGCTAGAGAATAAACTCAACGCAGATATGGGGAAATTTGTATGCTTTTGAGGTATAAGCCTTTTATTGATCATACAAGAGCCAGGATGCAAAAGTTAACTAAAGAGCCATATTGACCATTCAAACGATATGAAACGAGAATTATAAACTCTTTTATGCTTCGATAATAATTCAACCAGGTTTCCCATTTAACACTGACCCCCGACTGATTAGCAATTCACTGTGAGCATAGACTCAGCACAACATACAGCCATATAGCAGTATCGATGACATCGTTCGACCCTTCTAATTTGAATATCAATCATGAAATTATTTGGAATATTAAAATACAATCATGAACAAACACAAACAAGTCTTTGAAACTTTGAAACAAGAGGAATGACTCTAGAAAACAACAACAACAACAACAACGACGACGACAAAGTCGACGTCGACGTCGATGACGACGAGAAATACTGTATGTATTTTGAAAACACTGTTTTCTATGGTTATGCAAATCCAATGAACCAAAATTTACGTCTTAAATTAATATTACTTGATGCTCGGCAAACATACGACAAGCTTTAATTGGGGATCATGCATTAGCATAGCACCGAGAGGCATAGGGCAAGATAGAATTCCGATGGCACAGCAATTATTATCGCTTTAACGAAATTGTTTACATAATTAAAGTTTTAAATTGAAAGTGAAGCGGATTCATTGTGTTGCTATGCTTCGGCTCTCTCTCACACACTAAATCTCTCTGTGTGTTTATGCTTTCGCACCAAATGATAGTGATCACATTTCAAATTGGTTTGTTTTTCAAACCTGATACCGAGCACCGATAAGTGTTCCCTTTTGTCCATTAATACTACAAATCGTTTTGATATCCAATTACCAGGCAATCAATCGAATACGAGATATATAAATTGTTAGTCCCTTTGATATAAATCACAGTAATTGCACCTAAGTATCATCATCAATTTTACGTAGTACATCGCACTCGTCAAAAAAAAATTTCAAACTCTATGTTATACACAAAGCGTCTAGACATCAAGCGTTATTATGCATTCATTAAATTGATGGTATGAAAAACTTTGTCGAAGGGTTTTTATCCGGACTCTTGCGTCACATATGCCTCCTCAAACAGAGAAAAATCGATTCCTTATTTAGAAAACACTTTTTGCTAACGCTTTAATATCGATTATCTCAAGAGAATTCTCATAGTTCTTTTGCAAGAGTCCAGAAAATTTGGCCCGTGGAAGCAATAATTTAATTGTTTTTATCACAATGAATTTAAAGAAGGAGTTTAGTCGATTTCGAGAACGCAATCATAAATTTATCTATTCAAATTTTCCTGCAGCACTAATAAATAACGGAATTCGAACAGCGATCCGGTTGCCATTTCCGACCGTCGAACTAAATGCAATATCTAGCATTTTCCGATTCGCCTCCTGCGAATGATGTGTAACCAAGTCATAAAGTCGAGTCTATTGATATCGGAAAGCACTTCACGATATCAAATCATTGCACTGATATGGAATACCATTTTGCTTGGCAACTACCACATGCTGCAGCTGTGGTTTCTCTTTCTGGCTTCTGGCTTCATTACAACACAGTTAATTTTTGCTTGTGTGTGCCATGATGAACGGGAGAAGCAGCGTCAAAGGAAAAATTAAAGTGTTTCCAATGATTTTTTCGCACACTGGCAGCCGATATGTGCAATCCAATTGGCAAAAATGTTACCAATCGACTTTGTGCTTAATCAATTTTCCCCTCTTTTGTTGGATTCGTGTGTAAACGACGGGAGAAATGCGGTTGAAATGAAATTTAAATTGCACCAGCACCAGCAATAATTAAGACAAACATTTTTTCATAACAACATATGACGGCGAACAAGAGCATCCCTTCTCGAATCGTGTTCAACAAAAGCGCGCATCAAGTGCTTGCCATTATTTGCTCATTTTTTTCTCTGCGCTTGCAATGCACTTACCGTGCGCTTGAAAGTTCATTGAAATATCGACAATCGACATATTGTCCACTTGATGCATTATTAAAGCTGGTTTTCAATCAGATATGCGAGCCAGCCAAAAGTGAAACTTCATTGAACAGCATCAATTTCAACGAACCATTTTTTTTTTTTGTTCTCGCTGAAAAATGTGAAAAATATCATCTCTTGTGTCAATAAATTCAGCGAGAGATAGATTGCGAGAAAGAGAGAGAGAAAGAGATAGAAAAAAAGAGAGAGAACGTGAGAATAACAATAAAATTTGGATCATTTTCAGTGTTGATATTTTGTTGTTGTTCGTGTAATATTTCGACAAAAAGAGTGAATCGAAAAGAGCAAAGTTTCAATGACTTGAAGGATTGGAACAGTTGTTCCGAGTCACACACGTTGATGTTGCTCGACATGCACACTGAAAATTCGGATTCATAGTAGGATGTGTTGATGCCGTCGACTGTGCCCCGGAAAACGACCATATGGAAAATGAACAGCGCAAGCGGAGAAAATGCGTGCTCCGTTGAGTGAGTTTCTTCGTTGAGTGAAGCTTTTTGAGCATTTTCTCTTTCAAAGGATATGAGAGAGAGTGTGTAATTTTTACAAAATTTTTACTTAATCTACAGAGGAGTCAGTGATGTCCTTTGATTGATTATTCATTCGTTACATTAATAACTACTTCAGTTCACGGTAGAAACTTTAAATTGCAAAATTTTCATTTACAAGTCGAGTGGCAATCGACGTTGAAAGGACTCTGAACTCCCATTGACCAGAACAAAAAATAATCCAATGTTAGACCACTTGAGCGCATGCTGTAATGTAGTCAACGAGATCAATTGATTACATAAACCTTCTAAGTCAACTCGCAAATAATACGGATAAGAGAGGTTTTTGTTTGTTGAAGAAACAGCTACAGCAAGAGAAGTGTCCGTCGTCTATCGCAGATAAAATTCAATCGAAAATGCTCTTTGGAATAATGAAACGCAAACAGCGATTTAATAAATCCGTTGTTATATCAAAGTGTTCGAAATCGACACCTGGCAATTTGTCTTCGTCGTCACTTCGTCTCTTTCGCACTCTCTCCCGGAATGTATAAGCTAATTGAAAAAAATATACAAAGAAATGGAATGAGCGGCCATAAAGCGAATAAGCGAATATGGAGAATGATGGCCGGAAACCCGGACCAAGTAAATTATTATTAAGCCCAGTGGAAACGAAATAAAATAAGTTTCTTCATTTTTGTAGAAATAGCCGAATAAATACCGAAAACAACACACACACACACACATGCACAAACAAACGCACACCCCGTAAATAAAGTCCGCAAAATAATAAAGGCAAACATTTCGAGTTATATGCGCTGCTTTTTGTGTTGCTATGACCATTCATTGGCCGGAGTTTTGATGTGAGCCATCATCCATCGACCGAGTAAATTTCATTTGATGAAATGTTTGTTGGCCAGTCGTTTCGTGTGGACGTTGGTTATTTTTTTCTCCTTTTCTCTCTCTCTCTCTCTCTCTCCATCGCTCTTCCACATATCAACTCAACTCAACAAACAAACATATTCGCTCTTCAATCCAAATCGTCACGATTTATTTGTTCAGCAGTTGACACCGTACACTCGAGATGGTGTGACCATTTTCGGATCTTGCGTCCGAACATGAACCACTTATTCGGGGAGTTGAAAGCGAGAAATCATCAAATCAAGACAAGAACAAAAAAACACAACAACAACAACAATGTACATAAATTGTGTGCTCCGATTCCCTGGAGGATTGTGAATACTCTTGTGCGTTTGTATACCCATCGATGGACGCGCATTCGTTCGCTCGCCCCGATAATGTTCTTTAGTCCTCTTTGTGCACAATCTTTGCCGCTTGTATGAGCATATATGGCGCAAGCGAATCCATTGAATGGATATATCGAGACAATCAAAATTGAAGGTAGTCAAATTCACGCACTTTTCCTTTGATTAACACATAATTGGATCTTATGGCTTCGAAACGAGATGGTTGTTGATTTTTTTGTTGTTCTTGGTCTCTGAACTTTATACCTTTGACTTCGAACCGATTGAAAAATGACGTGTTGATCGAATTTATTGTGTTGGGCTCAATGAATAACATTGTTGCATACAGAAAAAAAAATATTTCGTCGAACGCACAAAACATGGCGTATATCAATGATTTAGTGTTGCATCTTGCAGAAAGACCGGAAATTTTTGCGCGAAAACAATAACAAACAACTGTTACCAGAACCACCGCAATGAGCAATAATTCAAGGCACACCATAAATACCAAAACCAATCTGTTCCATTTATTTATTTCGAACGATACGCCCGATTTTTCGTCGATATACACACAGTGCGAACATTTATGTAGAAACAAAGCGAGAGAGAGAGAGAGAGAGAGGGGGAGAGAAAAAGAGTACGCTGATTTGGGTTGAACGTGTTTGAAAAGGTTGCTTATAAATTAGATGTGAGCCTGTGCACATACACAGGCAACAAAACAAATTGCATCGATTTGGCTGCCATATGCGCGAATGCGTTATGATTTCATGCACCAGCATTTGCTCATCCGATGAGCCCCAATCGCAATTTTGGGCGCACTGTGATTCTTCGGCACTTGCTTCTTTTGCTCGATGCTATCGATGACTTTACGCGAAAAATCACATACGCAGTCAAACATGTTGCGGCTTTAACAATAGAGATAAATGAGCTTCTGTCGATTGAGTGGTAATAAGTGCACTTTATGAACATGCTCCAACCAATGGCATGGAATGAGAAGCGTTTGTAGGCATTTTGATTAATGCGTATCTGTTGCCACTGTTTGGGGTCATATTTGCACAAAAGCATCGAAATAATTCAAATTAATGGCAACAACACACGGAAATTTACTTCACTTGCCAATGTAAAATTCCACTGCAACAACTTTATTGATGTATATGCATTTTATAGTGTCTGTTTGGAATGAACGGATATTTATTTGCTACCAATTCTGCGAAAAAGAGTTTAAAGTTGAATTGAGAGCATTTTAATTGGAAAGAATTTAGTTCAAGAAAGAAAAAAAAAAAAAATCATATTCTAAACGACTACATTTTGAAGAGTTGATTTCATTTTGATATTTTTTTGTTCGGTTAACTAAGAGAAATACATTTTTTTTTGGAATTTGCTACAATTTAGTTTTGATGCATGAAAATCATGATCATTGAAGAAAAACTACTTATGATACGCGTAATAAAAAATGTCTTTTATTCAAACATTTTCAATTCAATCGATTATTTAGATTTATTAATCATTAAATTCGATTACAATCGATTAAATTCACACGATTTCAAAGGTTTATTGGTGTTTTAGTTGAATATGATTTCGTAGCTTTTACCCTGGCACGTCAGTTTGATTTGGAAGAAGTTTTCCCAGGTTTTTTCCCAAATATCAGCTTCGCATGTTATCACTTCATTGTTTGGATTTGCAGCTTCAACGGCAATCATATATCGTGTTCCAGCTACAACTTGGCTCTTGCCGCTCAAGATACGTTTCACCGTCAAATCGAATTCTTTGTGAATTTTACCCAATTCGATGAATGAGTGCGTAAGTTTTGGGTGCAATCCTGCAAGGGATTTCTTGTTGAGTGGACTGAAGCCGCCTGTTTTCAATAACTGTTCAATTGTTGTTTCGGTTTGATCAGAACTCCATCCATATTTGCGCTTCCGCTCATCATCACTACCACACTCAACGTCAAATTCAACAAAATTGGTCCATTGTTGCTCCAAAAGTGACGCAGCACAGTTGACATTTATGTTGTTTTCATTGAGTTCGACATTCATTTTGTACAGCAAACCTGCAATCACTTGCACTGTAGCTTGATGAAGTTTAACGAATTCAAGTTGTGCACCGTTTTCTTGAGCGTTCAATTTTTTCAAATGTATTGTAAACTTGTTTCGAAGTTCAGTTAATGTAGATTCATCGGTAATGGGAGTGACTCCACCTGGGATGCTGACGCAAAAACCGCACAATAACGATAAATACAGCACGAAATTTAACTTGATCATTTTGCTTGGTCTGAAGAGAACTGATTCGAGCAGACAGCGTTCTGGCCCTTTTAAAGGAACGACAGTGCGATGGTACTAATGATAACAGCAACCGATGGATAGTGATGATGATAGAATTACCAGTTATAAACGGCATTAAATGTTATATATCAAATATAGATATGGAATTGAAAACAAACATGACGCAACTGAGAGTTTAAAAATGAAATTATCAGTACATAATTATCTTCTATTCTTTCGTTTCGATAGACCAAAATGTTTGGAAGTTGACATTGGATCGACTTTATTTTAACGCTTCTGATAGGAAAATACTAGCAATAAACAAGGAAGGCATATGGCTCCGCTCCGCTCCGCGCTCGAATTGCTTGATGGAATGGATTTGAAAAATCCATTTTCTAAAATATTTTCTTATTTTTTCTATTTATATAATTTTACCTTTCTATTTTTGTTTTACCCCCTCCTCGACTACCTAAGATTCTATACTTCAAAATGTATGGCTATCGTGGTCAACCAAGATTTCGATCAGGTGATTCCAAGAACAAACAAATCTAGTAGCTCTAAATTTATAGTGAAAAAAACATTAGTTGTCGGAATAATTTTTTGCGTCGTATATTTTTCATTACACAGATTTTTCTTTTCATTAGAATAGTGAGAGAGAGAAAGAGAGAGAGAGACTATACTCTGTAATCTAAATCGCAAATATCTTTACCACTTTCTGCGAATTGTTATTTGTTTTGATTTATCATGTTCGAAAATTATCGCTCGCATTTTCAATAAAACGTATTTTGTCATCTAGATTCAATCAATCACCGCCGAATGTATGAAGCTTTTTTTAATGAATGGATTCAAACCTTGTATGATTTTCACCAGATCAACGTCAGCTTTTCGTACCGTCTGAATTTTTCAGAACAATTTGATCAAGTTAAAAAAACAAACGCGTAACAAAAAATAATTCAACAGACATACAGATAAACCGTACAAAAAAATTCAAAAACAATCAATCATTTTACAAAATTAATGAACAATAAACACATCAACAATGTACTTATCGTTACTTTATTCAATCGCATGTATGTAAACAAATCCATGCACGTAAGTGTAATTTCGGATCTTTCCACGATTACGTTAAAATTTCTTCAAAATTTAAAGTTTTATACTCATATCAGATACATTTCTCACATCCAATCAAAAATGACTTCCCACACCAGAGAAGTAAAACTTCCACAGACTCATGGTATTAATTACCGTGACTATGATATGAGTACCACGCAAATCTTTTATGTTGAACAGCAAAAAAAAAACTTTCAAGTCAGTTTGGGTTTTGGTTTAATTCAAAACAGATCCATTAGCCCCAAGATGCAATAGGCCAAAGCTTAGTCAATCAAGCACATGTCGAATGCAATTTTCCTGCATTAAACCATATTCGATATTTGTTTTTTCTTCCGAAGTCCAAAAAATTTCGTTCCACTCTAGCGCAATAGAAAATGGATATAAATAAAAATGCAAAATCCGTTTAGGTGTAGAAATAATTTAAATATCGTTTATTTGTTCGGCTCTAGGGTTAATTCTACAATAATTGCTTGTTTTGTGTGTGTTTGTATATTATATAAACTGTGGTGTATACAATATACATATAGATGCAGTCACAACACACAAAAAAATGCTAGGAAAACTAAGTGATTATTTTTTTTATATATATCATGTCTACAAGATTAGAAGTTATATTCGTAAATCAATTGTTCCCAAAATAATAATAATACTCATTGTTCGAGAGAAGAAAAAAAACGCAGTTCGATCAAAACGAAAATCACACTGAACTAAAAAGTAGTTAAAATAATAATAATGCAGGAACGAAAACGTTGAGACTGAAGACAAACTCCATGCTTGAGTATATAAACTTATGTATGCGCTAAAAAAATCACTCTTTTGACAAACCGGAAATTCTATGTAATCAACAATCTCTGAAGAAGAAAAAAATATATATGTGTCTACATTTGACTTTCTTTGCGCCATTGAAATGTTCCTGATTTCACGCCAATACTTGAAGACCCCTCATTATTTGATGATGACGATGATAACATGTTGTTGGTGCGTCGAATAAGCTGTGCTGCTGAATCGAATCGGTTACGTAACAAACGAACGGCTGGATTGGTTGTGATACCACTTCGCTTCAATGATTTCCTGTTGGAAAAAGAACAGACATTTTTTTTTCTTCTGTTTAATAAAGGGGCATACGGTCAGTGCAAAAGCATTTATTGTCCTACCTAACGCGAGCGCCATCTGTTCAGTTTGAACATGAAAACAAACAAATTGATCCATACAGAGTTATAATACCACAACATCTCTATATAGAGGAAACACTGTGGTTCGTTTTGTTCGACAAATTTTTTATACACTGCCTTCATTTCCACCGATTCATATATCGGTTGGCAGCTGGAGTCAGTTTGTTTGTTTTCATGTTCGCGCCGAATAGATGGCGTTTGTGTTAGGGAGAGCAATAAATGCTTTTGCACTAAAGGTATGTAAAGGGGCCTTGATTGCAAACGTCGGCATTTTCATACTTTGACGGTTGACTAGCTTCTTTGTTATTGCCCAAGATGATTCGCATGTGTGTGTCACGAGCAAAATGATCATTATTTTCTGCGTTGTGTGCGGCGAATATTGCAGTCGGCGTTTCGAATTGATCTTCGAAATTCGGCCCATTATCGCTGCTCGGAGATATTGGCGGTGTTGCATAGAGCGGTGACATACAGCCCATATCAGACAGATCTGGAAATGAAAATTATATTTCAATAAAATTTCTCTTTTCTCTATTAAAATGAAAAGAATAATCAGTTTTTGATAAGAAATAAAAAGTAAGACGATTCAAGAGTTTGAAACAATCCATGAGGAAAAGGGAAGATTTAAACCAAAATCTATACAACCAAATGTTGACGTGGTGATAAACATACCAAAATTGATTTTCTGTTCATCGGCTTTCATAAAAATATCCGAATGGCTGCTCATCGATGAGCGATAATTGCCAGGTAATTGTTGTTGTTGGGCTGGTTTCGAAGAAGACTGCGATGCTTGATAGTTTTTATTTGTTGAAGATGAAGCACCCGTTGTCTGTTGATTGAATACAAAGTTTCATTTAGTTTCATTGTCAATTTCCGTTTTCACTTCGACTGTATATTTACCTCATTATTACTGCTTCCGGTTGAATGACTAGAAATTACGCTTTTCCGATTGAATTTGGCATTATTCGATGACGCATCTGATCGCATGGTGTTCTCATAGAAAACCGTACCCTGGAAAATACGACAAGTTTTTAGTGAAATTTCGATTTCCACAACAAAAATAAAAAGAAGCAAAATTCGATTGATTTGACATACATTTGGTGCTTTCTTCTCTGGTGGCGACTGAAGGATTTTATGTGCTGCATTTCGTTGTTTTTGCTGTTTCAACCCTTCATCTAAAAATGGACAAATTAATACCAAATTTCAAACAAATTCTTGTTTTTTTTTTTTCATACTCAACAATCGAAACCCACTTTTCAATGCGTTTTCCAATAGCTTCAAAATGCTATAGTTATTCGATTTCAATGCCAGTTTAATTGGTGTTCGTCCACATAAATCTGATTTGTTTGGATTAGCACCGTACTGCAGTAAAATCGAGACGCATTTTTCGTGTCCTTCTTGGGCGGAGATGCCGAGGGCAGTGGCTCCTTGTTTACATGCATGATCACAAGAAGCACCATAAAATAAAAGCATCTCCATGACACGGTCATTACCCTGCCAAGCGCACGAATGTAGAGGTGTTCGGAAATCGAGATCCATCGCATTCACGTCGGCGCATCCTACAAATTACGGAGAAATATTGATAAGTTTTGCTTTCATAGGAAAATCATTAACAAATAATCGGAAGATAAGATGGAAAAAAAGATTTACTTAAACCAAACTCACCTTGAGCAACCAACAGCTCAACCATTTCAAGATGACCCTGCCAAGCGGCGACGTGCAACGGAGTACGTCCTTCATTATCAGGCAAATTGATATTGATATTCGAATGTTCCAGCAAGTATTTCGCAACGCCAACGTTATTCTCAAGTGCCAAAATATAAAGCGTGGGTCTTCCATCGGCATCACGTAGGTTTACATCGCAGCCGTACTTAATCAGCGCATCAATACACTCAATATTACCTAAAAATTAGAGAAAATTTTCATGAGAATTGTTTATTTTCACAATAGTTGCTGATTTTTATACCTTCACAACATGCTAATCGAAAAGCGGTTTTCCCGTCATGTGCCTTTTGGTCGATACACACATTTGTTGCCGTGACCAATGCTTCGATGACATTCGTTCGTCCTTCTTGGGCAGCAATGTGCAGAGCATTTTTTCCTTCGTTATCGCATTCGTAGATTTTTGCACCGGCTTCGATTAACTGCAGACAAACATCTTCATAGCCTTCGAAAGCGCCATAGTGCAACGCTGTCCACCCGGCATTATCGCGGTGAGTCTCATCTAAACCACGGTCAAGCAATTGTCGAACACTCTCTGGATTGCCTTGAGCTGCAGCAATGCTGAGTACAGTTCGTCCTTCTGAAACCGCAAATGGTGATGGAATTATGAAATAGAATTTAAAGAGACGAATAAACGCACAACAAACATACCTTGATCCATGCAATCGATGCTGCAGCCCCAGAATAGAAGCAATTTCACAATGTTCGCATGGCCTTTTGTACATGCCGCCCAGAGTGGTGTACGACCCATGTTATCTGATAAATCTGGATCCGCTCCATTTTCCAACAGCAATTCGCACACTTCGGCATTACCTTCGAATGCACTGACTAGCAAACTTGACATTCCATCGTTGTCCTGTTGATCAGCATTTGCGTGATACTCCAATAAAATCGAAATAACACGACTGTAACCAGAACTACCGCATAATGCAGCTACACACAAAGCACTTCGACCATCTGAAAATGAACAAAAGTGAATCAATAATCATTAAAATGTCAATCAGACAGAGGAGATATAATTTCCTTACCTATATCCAAATGATTGACATCGGCACCGTTTTCCAGGAGAATTTCTACGATTTCATAATGGCCCATGTAGGAAGCAGCTATCAAAGACGTTCGTCCTTGTCGATCGACCGAATTTACATCAGCGCCAGCGTTGATTAATGCCTTCAAAATGTCTTCGTGTCCACTCCAAGAAGCAGCACGTAAAGCGGTTCGTTGCTCTTTGTCGGACAGATCGATTTGAATTTCGGGATGTTTGATGAGGAGTTTAACTATATCCGTGTGACCGCCTGGGAGATTTAAAACAAGAAACAATAAATTCAAAATTAATTAAATACAAACAAAACAATTCCAATTGAAAATGTCATCATTTCCTTACCCCACGATGCAGAGCGAAGTGGTGTCCAACCATCCCGATCAGCATGATTAACACTCACGTGCTTGATTTGATGCGTTGAGGTGCAAACATATCGTAGACTCAAAAGTAGTTCGACAATTTCAAAGTGACCATTGCGCGCTGCAATATTCAAAGCCGTTTGTCCGCACTCATCTTCCACTTCCAAATCGATGGTGGCCAAACCGTTGCCGTCTTTTTTGCAAGCATTTAGCGCTCGTTTCAGCATTGCGACATTTCCTTCGTTCGCAAGCAAATGAATTAAAGCTTTACCGCACGACAGCAATTGATGTTGGTGTGCCAAATCATTGGAACATTCATCGTTGTCACCGCGATTGTGTTTGTGATTTGTAGGTGACATAGGTGGTGACACAATTTCTTGGTATTCATTTACATCAACATCAGCCGTATCTTTGTTGTTGTTGTTGTTGCGTTGACACGATTTCTCACTGTTAATCAACAGCTTTGCCAATTCATCGTTATTATCTTCCGTCACCGGTGATGTAATCAATGAATCATAGGAAAATTGACAATCCGCATTATTAATACCCGTCTCAATGAGTAGCTTCAAAATTTTCGTATTCGTTGGTAAACTTGGTTTAAAGAAATCACCAATGAAATCAAGAACATCATCGCATAGGGCTTTATTCAAAAAACGTTCGATGGTTGTTCGCATTCGTGGTATCATGCAATACGTTTGTTTGTAGTCTAGTTCACAAGCAGCGCAACAGTTCAATGCATTTATATAGAAACAATCGACCAGATTTGCTTTCGATTCCAGTAAAATTAGAATGAGATCCAAGTTAATATTTTTCCCTTTCGCATACTCATCACATTTGATCAAATGACCAAAATAACGAAGCACTTGATTCGGACACAGTGTATCACTGACCAGTGTATAGTACATTGAAATCATTGCATGACCTTCGGTAACACTGCACAAGAATTTTTTCGTTGAAAATTTGACGTCGCTCAACCAATCGCTAAACGAATTATGGAAGATTTTCACTTTGGTTCTATCGTCATTGAATGTCAGCACATATTTCATGGCATCGATACGTTTATCAAATTCCGGTTCATCGATCGTATAATTATGCGTACGCAGGCAATTCAACACAAATGTCAACTCAACAAAATCACTGCATGCCAGCAATATATTTAGTATGGGACGAATTTTAGTGTATTGCTTTTTATTGAACGATTTCTGGCAAATGTACAGATACAAACCGTTCAATGTGCATGGAATCAACTTGATTTCCCGGAATGAAAACACATTCTCTCGAATGCCACTTAATACTTTCTCCAAGTACAATATCGAACCGTTGGATTTTATGTACAATTGATTGAGGCAATCAATTATGTCGGCCGAGAATTGGATTTGACCCTTGAAATCGGCATTCAAACGTGCAATGATATATTCTTGCACATCCTTAACGACATGACTTTTTCGCAAATCATCCAGCGCAATCTTTTTGAACCCGTTGAATCTCTTGACAATGTGTTTATTTTGCCGCTTTGCCGTGCACACAAGGAACAACCATTTCGGCATCAAATGGAAATTATTCGCAAGTAGTTCGACTATTGTCCGGCTACGGTTCAACGTACTGCCTTTTAGCGTCGACATCACATTTTCCTCTTCGTTCAAATAATGCTCATCGATTGAGTCGACTAGGAATAGCAGTGCTGACTTTGGTGGTTGCAACTCCAAAAATGGATATAAAATGGCCTTTTTAAAACATTCGTCCGGATTCTTTTCGATATTATCCGCATTCAAACTGTCCATAATTTCCGGGTTTTGCGTTAAAATCGCAAAATATTCATCGGCAATCGTTTGAAGGCATGATTTGGTTTTTGGTGGTGGTTGTGGATGGTCATTTTCAATTTCCTTATCCACTTTTCTTTCCTCCGATTTCTCATCGGTCTTTGGTTCATCGCTCTTTTTACGAATCTCAACATTTTCATACTCGATCTCAATGTCTGGCTCTTTGTTCGGTTCATTCTTTTCACTCGTTTGAATAATTAATTTGTTTTCGGTCGATTTTTTGGCCGGCGATGTGTTTGGTGTTTCTTTTGTATTTGATATTGAGGGTGAACCAGATTTGTTACCAATTTTCACTGGAATTTTCGATGAACCGCGACTGGTTTTGGATTTGGTTGGTGTATAACACGGATTTTGTTCGCTTGCTTTTGGGTCATTCGTTTTTTGTGACGGTGGATACGTGTCGTAGGTAGAATCACGGTTACTGCTCTTCGCGCCACTTTTATTGGCTTCGGAATTTTGGCGAAGCATTTGTGTTTTTGCTGATTTTTCTTCACTGTTTTCGATGTGTTCATTGGTGTTTGCTTGTGACGATGTCGATGTATTTTTTGCCTCTTCATTCGGTTGCACCAATGACGTTGTATCCATTAATGTGGTATCGAATGCGGTCGTACTTGTCTCCGATGAAATATCGTCGCTGTTTTTTGACTGATTCGCACTGTCGCCGTCATCTTTGTGGGATAAAAGTGTCGAATGCGATAAGATCTGCATTACGATGCAACGAATAAATGTGCTCATCGAGTGACACTCGGAGTTTTGTGCATTTATAAAGTAGCAGCACAACAATTTGCGATTAAGCATGCCTTGTGTGCCTGTGGTACCATTGACAATTCGCTTACAAATCGACGTTTTCCCTGAACCATTCGAACCCAGTATAAATACACCGGTTTGCTGTGTGGTTGCTTTTTGCTGCATTCGTGACGATGTGGATTTTTTACGCGATTCACCCACCGCTTCGTCGCCTAATGCCATGGACGTGAGTTTTGTTTGTTTTGACAGTCTTTGCTCCAAACTCAATGCGATTAGTTTAATGATCCATTCACGTTTGATAAACACTTCGGAAATCTTTGGTAAATATTCACTGGTACCGTTCACTGGTACTAAATCGGGCACACCATCAACGCTGAACGGTGCATCTCCCTTGGGTGCGGTTTCATCGTCATTATTCGTTGAGTCAGTCTCATGCGTTGCATTTTCACTGTAACCAATCACATTTTGTTGCACCAAATTCACAAAATGTTGCTCTTGGGCGAGCGATGAAAAGTTCTCTTTTCCATAATCACTATCACCCGAGCTATTATTTCCGCTACCGCATCCCGAACGCTGTAATTTCTTTTGTAATTTACTGGTGTCTTTGAGAAAATTCAAAATATGCCTATCTTCGGTGGTGTTGACGGCTGTGGTCGTGGTACCATTCGTCATTTCATCACGATTATTTGGTTTTGGATCATGATTTGTGCTTGCCTTTACTTTGGGTCGATCAAGTTTTCGTAACGGTGTTGCGTAAATCATTTCCTTGGTTGTATCTAGTTTTGTGTTAAGATTATTATGGTTATCAGCATTGGTTTTCTGGTTGTTAACCGATAAGTCGATAAGCTGCGTCTGTTGCTCGTCTATTTTTAGTTTTTCCATTTCCGTTTTCATGTGCTCAATGCTCTCGATATTGTTCTCGATGACATCGGCACCGATGTCTTTTTGTGGCGGTGCTGGTGCAGTTGCTGTTAGCACGGCCGACTTTTCTGGAGTTTGTGTCGACATGATTCGCTCGATTGAATAATTGATGCAGCTATGACTATTTTAAGCTCGTGCTCTAAATATCGTGTTCTCCATAGACGAAAGAATCTGCAATATTGGAAATGAACCACACAAAATAGAAAATTTTTCACATTAATTTCGATTTGAACAGTAAACGAATGTAGTTTGATGCGTTTAAAATGGCGAAAAATTGCCAGAAAGTCACAGTTTTTATTTTCGTTCGTTATTCCCGTGGTTCAATATTATGAAGCAACTACTAATGCGGAACAGTGTTTGCTGTACGTCTAACAGACACGGATATGTTTTCTTTCCTACAATATTTACGACATTCATTCACCGAACACAACACGCAGAGAATGGGCTGACGGCGAGACGGATAAAATGTACACACACAACACACCAATTACGCTCACTCGATACACACTCTCGCTCTATCGAAACCAAGCGAAAATAATCAATAAAAATACGTAAATCATTTTTTCCTTGCCTCTCTATCTCCATTCACCTTTTTTTTCATTCGTTGTTATTTTACGATTTCTTCTTGTGTGCTGATTATTACAAATCCAACACCCACTCGAATTTACACTTAATAACATTTGAGTTGCAATTGTACCACTTGGCTGACATCTTGCACATATTCATTCTTTCTCTTTGGCTGGGTCTTTTTTCCTCTTCGGTTGGTTCACTACTCCGCTTTGTTCGACTCTTTTGTTGAACAATCTAGTGCACACGCATAGCCGATTGGCGGATTGGGCGATACTAGTGCACTTGATATTCTTTAAAACTTTGATTTTATTTTTAGCAATTCGACACTTCACTTTGCTTCTTTTTTTGCTTGCTTTCAACTTTCGGATTATTCACTTGCTTACAATAATGCCGTCTTCTTTTTTGCCTATTTTCCATCCATACTATTTTGACTATTTTGTTTTCACATCGCGATTTGTAAACAATCGCAATACCAAATTCACAATTTTGTTTACGACAAACGCTTGTTCATTAATAACTATCAACACCATGAAAGAAGAAGAAGAAAAAAAAATTGTGCACACAGACACGCACAAACACTCGACCGAAGCGAATAAATATATGTATCATTCGACGTCTATTGCGAGAACCAAGCAAACGAAGAGGGTACGCAAAATTCTCATTTATTATTCATGTTGTTTGACAGCACCCAATGCACGAACGACCGCGGCATTTTGATACGCGTGACTCACACACTTTATCGCATACGAATCACGCGGCTCTGTGTGCAGTTGTCACTATGGTTTGACTTGCTTAGCATAACAGTTTTAATTGATATTGAAATACTTGATGATTTTTTTAAAATTAAAAATATTATTGAAATATTTATCTCAAATTTTGTTCTAGAAATTAATTTTCTTTCAAAAATGTCTGTCTCGGGTATGATGAATATACGTAAAATCTTTCACATCGTTCGACGCAGTGAAATTCAAATAGCATCACGAGAAACCTATCAATTGTCCATGAACCGTTCTATGTTGTTTGTTCATTTGTTTTAAAAGAACTCACTTCAAAGTTAGATACGAATTTCAACACAATAGCATCTCATGAGTGTGAATTAATTCGTGCCGTTTCACAAAAGATGGTATAACTAAATTATTATTCCATTATTCCATTTTTCCAAATATTCATTGGAAAGCTACTGTCATTACGCGTCTTTTTCAGTCTGTGTCATTTGATTGAAGCGTAAACAATAACATTTTTTATTCAATTGGAAATGTCGAATTTCGTGCCAAATAAAGTGTTTTTACGGGGCGTTCTTCTTCATTGTTTTATGATGAAAAAAAGTGCAGCCGAAAGTCATCGAATTTTAGTGGAAGTTTATGGTGACCATGCTCTGGCTGAGCGAACGTGTCGAAAGTGGTTTGCACGATTTAAAAGTGGTGATTTTGGCTTGGAAGACGAGGAGCGGCCCGGACAGCCAAAAAAGTTTGAAGATGAAGAGTTGGAGGCATTACTCGATCAAAATTCGTGCCAAACGCAAGAAGAACTTGCAGATTCATTGGGAGTTGATCGCTCAACCATTGCAAAACGTTTGCGCACAAAACACAACAGAAAATGAAGTTATCACAACAATTACGAAGGAAGAGAATATTCATCGATGATTTTCTAAACAGCCTAGATGACTCAGTTCAACGAGAAATATCATTTCTCAGTTCAACAAGAAACACCGGTTGGATGAAACAAATGGCTGAATAAAATAACAAAACATTTAAAAGTGAATGACAAATTGTTAAATTGTAAAACATAATCTTATAAATACAAAATCATTTACATCAACAAAAACATGGTCTTTCAATCTTGATTCTCATTTAGAAAACTACAGCACAGACAAATAAAATCAAAAGTATGTAGTTTGAGCGCCATTCATATTTGACAGTTATTGAAAACACATTGACAGTATGACAGTTGAGTACGGTAACAAAAATAGAACTGTCACTCGCTACACAATCACAATTCTATCAGTCAAATGACGATGCAGAGTTTTTAGTAAATATTTTGATTTGCAAAGTAAACAGAAAAAAATCACAATTTTTCTGCGTGCAATTCATAATTTTTGATGTGTGATCAAGTCATTTAGGTTGAATTCTCATATTTTTTAGGTTTTCATTTTGAGATCATTGGGTGAGTATTAATATTGTACATGTATTAAGCTATGATCATGCATAGTACGATCTTAAGATGATAAATACACAAGTTTTTCAAAAGAAAATTTACATTTTTCTATGAATTGATTTCAAATAAAATTGGTGTTATTCTTCATTTTATTTGTTTAGGTAGGAAATCATGTCAAGTTCACCGGCAAAACACAAATCCAGTCACCACCATCACCATCATCATCGTGAACACCATCACTCGTCGAGCTCAGGTGGTCATTCTAGCAGCTCATCAGTGAAATCGATGCTGAATTTACCTTCATATATCAAAATTCAAGACAATTCAAAGCTGCTGCCCCACTACAGTGTTGGTAAGTAATTCAGAGTAGACAATGTAAGGTCAGGGACAAAATAATCACAGTTTCATTCTTTTGTTTAGCTTTGAGCAAGCCACACGATGAATGCATGCCGATGGATGAGTTGGATGGGATTCAAATGGAGTTAGAGACACTTTTGTCATCTGTTGCATTGCGTTATCGTGCATTGAAAACCGAATACGATTGCCTGGAGGATCGAAAATACCATAAGAAAAGCGCGGACAAAGATAAGGAGAAGGCAAGCTCACCGAGCGTAAGCAGTGGCAAACGAAAACGAGAGGAAAAGAAATCGTCGTCATCATCAAAAGACGCAAGACGTTACAGTCAACATGCAAAACACTCAAAGTTGAAGAGCAATTCATCAAATTCGCCGGCTCATTCACATCACACCGATCACAGTGCTGATGTAACAGTGCCTTACCCAAACACAAGTGCAGGTCATTCACACACAAATCCAAAGCCAATTTCACTCAAAAACGATGTGCCGTACAAATTTTGGCTATCAGTCGAACCGTACTGTATCCCCATAACGCAAGAAGACATTAAAATGTTGGACGATCTAATTGATGATTTTCCAGAGCCGTTAGTGCCTCCAGTTCCGGAGTTGGGGCCACATTACTCCATTCGATGGGCATCCGATGATTTGCGTGAAGAGCAAGACGCCGCAAATGCAACTTCAAATACAAAATCAAGCAAACGTTCAAATAGTACTTCGGTCGATGTGAGTGATTCACCGAAGAAGGTCAGTGAAAAAGAGAAGGAGAAGGACAAAGACAAAGACAAAGACAAAGACAAAGAGAAAGACAGAGAGAAGCAAAAGGAGAGAGAAAAGGAGAAAGAGAAAGAAAAAGAGAAAGAAAAAGAGAAAGTCGAAGACAAGGAGAAAATCATGGGTCAAGGAATTTGTGGCCCATTGACGCAACGGTTGGTATCAGCGATGCTGGAAGATACGTCCGAAATGCAAAGTGACGTTGTTGGATGCAGCGATGCCACTGGTCAAGATGGTGGTGAGAGTTGCAACGAGAATAATCCATCGTCAGCAAATCGGGCACAAACCTCTTCGATTGCTTCGCTGCTAAAAGGTGGCATTGATGTGGAAAATCGTCTGAAGAAGGAGCTGCTTGATCTGGGAATACTGGAAGCGAGTGATTTTGAAAAAGACAAAGATGAGGTGCTTAGTGAAATTAACCGTGTTCGAACCGAACTCCAAGCCATCTCTCAGTACAATCGCAACGAACTGAAATTACTAAGAACCGCCGCCAAAGAGGAAATGAAGCGTCTGGACGTTAAACGTAAACTAGATCGAATTGATAAAGATGTACGTGTGCTTGTGAGCAAAACAGATTTCAAAATTGTTCATGGGATGATTCTATTTTCGTTACAGATTATTGAAGCTCACAAACGGGTGTTTGCTGCTAAACAAAAACGTCGACCACTCACAAAGCATGAACGCAATGAGATTTTCCGCTTAGTCAACGAACAGAAACGACTATCCGATCAGCTGGAAGCGATGCCGATTCCAGGCTTCAATTTTACCGTTGGTTCCATCGATGCTCCGTCATCTTCGAAAACCGAAACTGCCACGAACACACCAAAAGCTTAACACAAAATTCTGCCTTATTATCATCGAAACATATTAAAATTGCAATCAATATATTTACAACAATTGAGAATCTATTGGTTTTTGAATCAATTTCGAATGCAATATTTTTTTAGTAGTAGTACAAGTTTTGCATAGACTTTTTTCAAAAAAAATTTATTCGATTTTGCAATGTACAAATGACATAAACTATTGTGATTTTGTTTTAACTTGAAACGTATACACAACAGATTTGGTTAATAATAAAATCCTGAATTGCTGGTTCAATTGAATCATGAGATGGTCTATGGATAATTTTTTTTTTATTGATTTTAAGATTGAAGTATTTCTACGAAATAGTATATAACATTCTCTTAGAAAGAATGATTTACAAGGTTCTACCGTTTTTTTCTATGAAAATTGATATTGACTACAGCAGCGATTTAGGGGACCGAAATCTAAGAACAACGCAGGTCTCAGTATATCCGAATCGCTATCCGACTTGGTTTTAGTTCTATATTTTTGAGTAGAATTATTTTTTCAACTTGATTATTATTTCGAAGAGAGTCACAACGTTGTACTTCTGTAATGAAATTATTTTTTGGACAAAAATGTGATTATCTAAAAAATGTACATGGTTAGACGCACCATGGACACTTTTTTCGCTCGTGCATTCGTTTATTTCGTTCTCTTCTACGACATAATCACAATTATGTCGATCGTACACTTGGGAATCTTCATCCTAGGAAGTTTTTTCGTTCATGGAATCGTTTATTTTGTCGTATACTTTCGCGTTCCTGTCTCTATCCCAAAATCCGACTTGGTTTTAGTTCTATATTTTTGAGTAGAAATATTTTTTCAACTTGATCCATTATTTCGAAGAGAGTTATGATCTTCATGGATGGTTCCTACATCTTCAAGACCTCCATTTGACTGAATCATATGAGGATGTGGATACAAGTTCATGAACCGAAATTACTACTATTGGTTTGAAGAAGATGCTATCCCATGCACACAAATTGACACTTCTAAAGTTGACGTCAGTTCACAGTATTTCGATCGATGCAAATGACTACAAGGCGATGTTGAAGACTGTAGGAAATCGACCAGAGGAAGTTAAACTTCTGGTTGTAATTACAAGCGATGGCGACAAGGTCAATGTTCTCGATGAAACATTGGCAGCAAACCGGGAAGTATTTTACATTGTCGAACATGTTGAGGTAAAATCAATAAAGGTCTACGATTCTGTCGACCGCAATGATTCCTATGATTATTATGACCGCAGTGGTTTCTATGATTTCGACGACCGCTACGATGATTATGATCGTTGCAATTCCAGCCCAGACTCTGACTGCTATGAAAGATGGCGAAACGATTATTAATAAAAGGTTATTCGAGTTCTCATTCATTTACAGTGGAGTGAAAATTTCACTCAAGCAGCGGAAAAGCTAACAATGAGTACCAAACAGTGCCCAGAAAAGCCTGACATCGATAAGAAGCCTTTCAATCGATGACATCAAATAAATCGATATGCAATCTTTGACTTCACATTCTCTATCTAGAAAATATAGTGCTTTGGTCTATTTAGTTCAGAATAAACTTTGTAGAAACAGCTTAGTAATCTTCATTGTATGTGTTTTTCTACAAAAAAATCACATTTTATATCAAATCTCCCAAGAAAAATGTTAAAATACGTCTAAATTTTGACCATTTTGCACCGTTTTTCTGCATTTATTTCCACAAAATAATCAGTATATGTATTTTTGTATTTTCAATAGAAAACGAGCCATTTACAATTTAAACTCAACATAATTTAATCGACAAAAGAAAAAAAAATTAAAAAAGGTTATGGTGTTAAAAAAACTATCAACGGCGACGGCACATAAATGACAAGTGTCTCAAAATCGTTATATCTACGCATTTGAGGGTGTTGTTTTTCGTAATTTGAGGTAAATGATTGGTATTCATAGACCCAAAGCCAGTGACTTAGTCACTGTGGCTTCGCTTATCAGTTGATCATTGCTATCTGCACTTGAAAATTGATACCAAATAATCAAAGCCATGCATGATAGCATTGAGTCACGCCAAAAATCGATTCTAAAAATGTGGTGTCAATAGTTTTGTGTTCGCGTTCGACACAAGAACTCGCTCAAGTAAAAGTATTTTTTTTCATTGGAATATTAATACCAATAACCATCCAATCGGCTACACAATATTCTATTCTCTTGCATTTTTCATCGTTGTTGTGGTACAAATCAAAGCAAATTATTCTTCAGAATATCTCCAGTAAAATAGTAGTTATCGTTCCTTTTACAATGATAAACAGTGACGCACATTATGCAAGCCCTAAAAATGTATTCGCTCATAGTAGAAATGGAGCACTATGTTCACCATTTCGTAAAAAAGTAATAATTTCGATTGTGTTATTTGTGCTGCTCTATAATTACTATAGGGTGAGACAAATTGTTACCATTGAAAGACCGGTGAATTCAATCCAGGTAATTTCTTAAAATTCCACGTGTAATGGACAAGTTCAGATTTAGTTTGAAAATCTTCAAGCCATATTTATGGAGATGAGATCGAGAGTAGTGTATATTTTTTGACGACTTATATTTCGATGAAGTTGAGTATGTTTCACTCGTGGTTTTCTTCCAACTTTTGTTTCAATGATATTAATGAATAATACCGTTCGGTGTCTTCACAAAAATTGCTAGACTTGTCAAACTGTGCAATTTTGCAAAAGACAATTATCGTATATCTGTTGAAATAAATGAATTATTTCTAGATTTTTTCATCGCTTGAACAATGAACAATCTACTGTTTCCAATACAAAGTCTAAGAAATACACACCACTCTCAATCTCACCCATAGTTATGGCGAATGGTTATTTCCTTTTTTGTTTTTTGATTTGCTGCTGGTTTGCGTCTGAATTCCCGATGAAGATAAAAACGGTATTTGAAAATTGAGATCTATAGTGCCAAGGAAAACCATAAAAAATGGTACCATTTCTATAGTAAAGTTTCTGGAATTTTTAGTCAAAAATTTATGACCCGAAAGATTTATCCAAACCACTTATACCCCATATAATGTCACATTTTAGGTTCGAGAACCTCCAAACGATGACAGTTTGCGTATGGGCTGGTCATTCAATATATCACGAAATTATGATGATCATTTGCTGTGTAAATGGACCGAACCGATTGTAAACCCAAATGCAACGAATCCATCAGATCGTGGAGAGTACGGAAAGGCATTCGTTCCAAGAAAAGACGAAGAAGAATTGATGGAACAACTCAAACAACAGCATAAATACAATGTGTTTGCATCGAAAAAGATTTCAGTGCGTCGCAGTTTGCCAGACCATCGGTATCCCGAATGTCGTAAAATAATTTATCCAACCATATTGCCCACAACGAGTGTTATCATCGTAGTTCATAATGAGATTTTGGAGACTCTATTGCGTACTATTTGGAGTATTGTTGACCGTTCACCGCCCGAGCTCGTGAAAGAAATAATTTTGGTAGATGATGCAAGCACATGGGCAGAATATAATGATTTAAGTGATCATATTCCCGAGTTGCCCATCCCAGTTAGATTTATTCGAAATGGAAAACGTGAAGGACTAATACGAGCACGTCTTATAGGAGCGAAAAATGCAAAGGTAATACCATGGCATATAGAAGAAATCTTCACATACTTGAATTTGACGTGATATTCGACATTTTTTAGGGAAGCGTTCTCACATTTATTGATGCTCATATGGAATGTACTGAAGGATGGCTACAACCGATTCTCTCTCGTATTGCAAGTGATCGCTTTGTTGTTGCTGTGCCTTTACTTGATGCTATCAGTTCCGATGACATGGCATACAAACCATCTGCGACTACATTTATAAATGGTCTCCGTTGGTACTTGATATTCGAATGGTTGGTTCTGGTGGACATTTATTTGAATAGTCAATCAAATTGGTTATTTGTGATTTCTATTCAAGGATGGAAGTTCCGGAAAGGGAGTTGAATCGCACCGGACACGATAGAACAGCCCCAGTGCGAACGCCGACGCATGTTGGTTGTGCTTTCGCAATTGATCGCCAATTCTTCTTTGAAATTGGCTCGTATGACGAAGGGATGGACATTTGGGGATCTGAAAATGTAGAACTTGCTTTTAGGGTATGGAAATGCACTATAGCATTAAAAGTACATAATTAACAATATGTTGTATTTTTTGTGTTAGACATGGCAATGTGGTGGATCCTTGGAAGTCATACCTTGTTCGCGCGTTGGCCATCTGTACAGAATATCCACATATTCCTTCAATGGCGATGATAAGGAAATAGTAACAACGAGAAACAACAGAAGATTAATTGATGTGTGGATGGACGAATATGCGGCGTATATTTATGCGGCCTATCCTCGTAAAATTTGAAGAAGGAAAAATAAAGAAATTAGTTGATGGCAAAACTTCCCTCTCTTTTTAGAATGGAAGAAAGTTTCAGCAGGAAATCTCACAAACCGATTGAACTTGAAAAAGCAGCTAAAGTGCAAACCATTCCGCTGGTATTTGGAGAATATTTACCCTGAAAGTTTGTGGCTGAGAGAATACATATCTATAGGCCAAGTTAGTAAACGATTTTCGTTCTGAGGAAAATTGTCAATTCTTCTGATTGAATTCATTTTTTTTAGATTAAAAGAGCCTCCACGAACAAATGCTTGGATGCACACCCATCAAACTATTATTATTCATGCCATGGAATGAGTGGGAATCAACTTTTCTTATTTTCGAAAAATGGTCAAATTTTGACGGTCGAGAAATCTTGTGTGAGCCTTTCCAACGATCATAAATCCATTATGTTGAGGCCATGTTTGGATAAAGATAATCTGCAGATATGGACGTATGAACGTGAAGTACGTAGAACCAAACAATGCCTAGATATATCCATTGGATATTTCTGCTAGACGGCATATTTTGTTGCGTTTGAACAAACGCTTCTTTACACAGTGACGGTGTCGCGCGTGACATACACAGAACAGAGCGCATTTGAGGACGCTACCATTTGTGTGCCCGCTGTTCGTATGTGTTCAAAGACTTGATCACTCATGTATTTGTATTTGCGACGCCTCCTCAAATGCGCTCTGTTCTGTGTATGTCACGCGCGACACCGTCACTGTGTAACGAAGCGTTTGTTCAAACGCAACAAAATAGGCCGTCTAGCAGAAATATCCAATGGATATATCTAGGCGATACCGCATTGTTTGCGTAGAACAACAACTGGTTACTAGGAATGAGCAATATTTTTAAACAACATTTTTCTCATGCAGAAACAATCGATTTGCCTCAATTCATTTGGCTTATGCATCCGAAGCAATGGGGACAACGTTACCGTAGACGAATCGACTAATGCAGATGACAAGAGATTTAAGTGGGAACTAAGCTCGAATCTATGAACTATAAATGATGTTGATTGACTGGAAGTTATTAAAATTCTGACCAATGTAAAAATGTTCGAATAAAAACTCACTACCAACCATAATGTATTAGCCAAGATTTTGAAGTAAATGCAACTCAAGTGCCATTATGTATTACATAACTCTAGAAAATTTCGGATAAACAGACAAATAAACATGAAAACTGACGTTTTTTCGACTTCTTCTTGAACAGAAATTGAGTCTGAAGAACAGAACAAAAAAATCAACCGAAGAACATTGGAAGGATTTCGTGTTCTGGAAATACAATTTTAAACGGAAAAATCAATTTTGAAATCGCATTCGACTGTAAACTAGGCTTAAGCCAATCATGCCAATGCTAACTTGAAGCAAAGGATAAATGAAATCGAAATATAATATAAACGATCATTGTAGCTGTTCTCGAATATTCGTTTGATAATAAGAACGGTCGGAGCATAAGTCTTGTTAAACACAAGTCATGTTGTCACAGTGCAGGTTTTTATTGTTTAAAAAGAGCTGTTTACACAAGAAAATCACATCTACGTTCAAATATCACGAGCATTCACTGCCTCAAGTTCTGCATAGTTAGCAATACACACTTACAATCACACAATACACACTTGAAACGTTCAATCGTTTACTTGGTAGCTTTGCCTGCATTTACATATTTTTCTTTGCATACTTTGTGCCTTATTCATTGAACAGCACATTTAAAGTTATTGCGCAGTTAAAGAAAGTTCTGCAGCTAAGCAAACGTGCTGAAACCAACATTTTATTGATTTGGAATATTCATTTTTTGTGTTCATTTAAAGAATACTGGTTTGTCCTGATGTCGTTTTCCGAAGACGAAAATTCTGTTCGTACTGGTGACGATGCCAACGATAATCACAAAGTGCCCATTCGGACATTTTATGTGTCGCCAATCGAAGAACATGTAAGTTTTTTTCTGTCTCAAACTTTCATGGCGAAAATATTCTCATTTGCCGACACATTTTCGGAATTTCAGATAACCGAAGACAAGATCAAAAAGTATTTCGAGGATTTTGGTCAAGTGGAATCCGTGGAAATTCACGCAAACAAATCGTTTCAATCATGTTTCGTGCGATTCAAAGATGTTGCGTCTGCAACTGCGTTGAATATGCGTCAACATCGCATTGAAAATGTTGAGGTTAATGTCAGAGCAGCCGACTTATCGTGCCAACCAGATTTTCAACCTCTGTGGATACCACTCGATCAAGATTCTGCGTCACACATTCTCATTGTACTCGACGATGATTGTTTGCGTGAAATATTCAAACATTTGAACCAAATCGACCTATCAAGTGCGGCCGAGGTTTGTGTTCGATTCAACCAACAGGCAAAGGACACATTTGCCAAGAAATACAAGCATTTGGATTTATCGTATGATGATTGTTCTTACATGGAGGAAATCAAGAAGGACAGCGTGAAATGTTTGCTACATAACTTCGGATCAACGATTTATTCGCTTGATGTTGATGAACGAAGACTGCAATCGGGACCCAATTATCAATATCTGATCAGCATGTACTGCACCCAGTTGAAGAAACTAAAACTATCCCATTTTGCTGTGTCAATCGAAGTCAAACCACTGCTCAAAATGTTGGAACAGCTTCATTTCTCATGGTGTGACAATTTGGGAGATGTGGAAAATTTGCTGGTGATTTGTGACGAACTCAAAGTGCTACGCATCGAAGATTGCTACGTCGGTGGTACCGCCATTCAACGAAAATTTGGAAAATTGGAAGAGTTCTATTTTTCGAACAACACCTATGAAAACAATGAATTGAACCGATTCATCGGTTTGAATCCATCGCTGTTGAAGTTATCTGTCACTGGAAATACTGATTATTCTGATTTATCGGAGACTGCTCGTCTAATTAGCCAAGGTTTGCCGAAATTGTTAGAGCTGGAATTCCAAATGTTCTCAACCAGCCATGATTTCTTCCAGAAATTGGGAAAATTCGAATCGTTAAGAGTGCTGAAATTCAATTTGTATTCTCGATCAGCCACACTGTTGCTGAAACACTTGGTCGAGAATGAAACGCCGATTGAACACCTAAAACTGTCTGATGCAAAAATTGATGCTGAAGGGATTGAATACATTTCACAAATGAAACTGCTCAAGATTATTGATTTATCTCTAACTGAGTCGAAATTCACTGACGAACATTTCATCAAATGGGCCAAAGATTTGTCGCATCTGCAAGAGTTGCATTTGACAGAATTAACATCATTTGATCTGGATACAGATTCATCAATCAAAATCAGTACTATTGGTTTGAAGAAGATGCTATCCCATGCACACAAATTGACACTTCTAAAGTTGACGTCAGTTCATAGTATTTCGATCGATGTAGATGACTACAAGGCGATGTTGAAGACTGTCGGAAATCGACCAGAGAAAGTTAAACTTCTGTTTGAAATTACGAGCGATGGCGACAAGGTCAACGTTCCCGATGAAACATTGGCAGCAAACCGGGAAGTATTTTACATTGACGAACATGTTGAGGTAAAATCAATAAAGGACTACGATTCTGACGACTGCAATGATTCGTATGATTATTATGACTATGATTTCGATGACCGCTATGATGACCGCTACGATGATTATGATCGTTGCAATTCCAGCCCAGACTCTGACTGCTATGACAGATGGCGAACCGATTATTAATAAAAGGTTATTCGTGTTTCAAAAGTCAAGTTGCAGTCCTTGCACAATCGATTCAATCTGTCGCCATTCAAACGAAGGTCTTTTTAGTGGACGAATATGAACCAATATGAACAAATAAAAACGAACACTTATTTCTCCAACCGAAATGAATTTTGAAACAATTGACTCTAATTCATAGATCAATACTTCATTATTATAAGATCTAAAATTTAAGTACTCATTTTTACTTTCGACTTTTTTGTGTAGGAATTTAAGTCATTCAGTTTTCTGATTAGCTGAAATAAAGTTACAACGAATAAGTTTTAAATATGAGCTATTGTGATTTTGCTTCAACAAAACATCTACATAACAGACTTAGTTTGCAATAAAATCTTAAATTGGAGGTTCACTTAGAAATGATATGTCTTCTTATTCATTCGATTTCTCATTTCGATGTCAGTTTTGCCAAACATTTTGTGTTTTGTTGCTATTTTAGCAATTGTCTTGATGTTAAACGCCTGTTAAACAACATAGTTTGCGTATGTCCCGTTTCCTCTTCAAAATAGACTGGAAAAGTTTTATTTTAGCTCTCTTTCTAACTGAAATAACATGAAAACTTCAAAATAAAACCCAATTATTAATCGGTACTAACATATCACTTGTATTTTAATAAAGAACACATTTTCAATAAAAGGTTACAAGCTTCCAATTATCAATGAAGTTAGAACAATATTTATTCAACTGAATGAATGACACATTGACTTAAACCACTCTAAACAGCGCAGTTGCAACGTTGAGCGAAAGTCCATTCGCAAATGGATCACTAAGAAAGCTAACTCTTTGTCTTCCGGTCAAACTGGTCAATCCAACTGCATCAACAACCGAGCATGAAAGGAACACAACGTTGCCATCATTGTCAGGTTCAATTAAACCGAATGTTCCGGGATCATAATATGTAAGAGTCCCTATGTCAGAATAACAGGATGAAATACCAATTAGAAGAAAAAAAAATTGAGCCACCGAATTGAATTCATTTTTTATGTATCAGATTACAGAAACCGATCTAAAGGAATGCAAATGTTGTCGTCAACTGAAGAAATTCTCGCAGTGGTATTACCCACATATAATTGTAAGCTAAGCATCTTGGTAGTCCAAACACAAATATGTACACAGCTGATGAGCAGAACGTAGACAAGGAAAGTAAATGAATGCGTTTTTATTATTATTGATTTTAAACAAAAACCGAAAAAAGCGACTTCATCACAGAAAATAACACGATCTTATTCTGTCAAGAACAACACTTTTCCATTATGTTTTTCTATATTTTTATTGTTTATTTCAATGAACATAAAATTGGATACATTTAGATGATTATCGATATTGATTTTGTTGTCTGAATTTGATGCTTATTTATTTTCTAGAAATCTAGTCTATTATGGGTGATTTATAGATTGATCATTGTTTGATAGTCAGCAAAGGAAAAGGAAATACCAACAAATTGGCAAACTAAAAATTCGCTAGAAAGAAACTTATTGAAAATCATTTGCTATTTGTTGCGAGCAAGGGAAACAGATCAGTTTTAATTCGATGCCACCATACATATAGTCGTCATTGTGGAAATTGCAAATCATTTTACGCTTCAATAAAAAAAAAATAAAATCTAAGTTTAAGTCGTGTCAAAAACAGTCCTTAATAACCGCCCTCTCATTTCAATCAAGCCATCACAATGTATTATTTGCGCGTATTTATTGACAATTAAACGAAGATAACGTGTATCTATCGTGTAGTATGTGTAAATTCATATGCATTTTCTTTCGTCTCTTCTCACTCGTCAATTTTCCCGTCACTGAAAATAGCTAGAATTGTGTTTAGATGCCGTTTGAAATACAGATTCATTATTATATTCAATTGCTACACATGTCATACTCAATTTTTAAAAACATTGTCAATAGCTTAAAAATATTATCCATATAGAACGATTAAAAATTTTACTCTGCATAAAATGTGTTGATTTATTTGTTAATTTTTTTTTCGTGGGGTCATCTTAATCGCTAGATTGATAGATTTATTTATTTTTGTTGTTGTTGAAATTCATTGTTTCATTTACAATTTCGTTCGTTTGCGGCGTGTACAGTTGTCATTTTTCTTTTGGCCATAAATTGGGATCGTATGTCTACGTATGTGTGTATGTGTGTATGTGTTTTCCTTATTGAAATTGTGAAATGTTCATTTGCTTTTGATTCTACGGATTTGTTCGAATTTCAAAAAAGCATTTGCCGTTTATGTTCTTATATAAGGGAATAGGGGCTTAAAAAACTATGAATATGCTATAATATGTGAATTGTTGCTAGGAATCAATTGAAATGTCTGGTTAAAAAGCGCTGTGAATCGCTTTTTGTGTCGTTGTTTCCGTTAAGCAAATTACGTGCATTTGCTTGAATTGATTTATTGTTGTGGTTGACCGTAGCCTGGATAATATCCAGCCGGTCCCGGTGGTCCTGGAGGCCTATATGCTGGATAATTTTGAGCCGGATGATAATTTTGTTGATGATAGCCAGCATGCGAAGCGGGATAATTTGCAGCACCCGGTGGTGCGTATGGGCCTTGCGGTGGCCCTTGATACTGTTGCGAATAGATGTTTTGACCGACTGGCGGCGGTGCAGGCATTGGCATCGATTGGGGCTGAGAATTTGGCGCTGAAATTCAGGACATGACATTAGTTACAAGGAAATCATTCGAATCGTTCACATTCTTCAATTTACCTGTATTGTTCGGAACTTGCGGTTGAGGCGGCTGTGTATAGTTTGGCTGGGTGTGAGCACCTGCAAATCAAATCGATTAGTAAACCGTTCACATGTCAATCATTTCTTGTGTAACTTACCTGACACAGGCGGTGGCATAGGCTGTTGGTATGCTGCCGGCTGACTGTTTTGTGGTGGCGGTGGCATATTTGGATGCGGAGGTGCCATTGACATCGGTTGAGAGTTGGGAGCTACGAAAACAAATTGCAAAATTGGCGTTAAAATCGAGAACATTTCTTTGGAAATTTTATGCAGGGGGAAAACATCTCAGCAGAACTTTTTTCATTCATCGATTCTTTTAAATGAGAATCGTTCAAGACGACTCTATTTCGAATGAAGAAAGCAATTTTTCTGAACTTTTTACAATGACATAAATTGTGTGAAACATTACACATCGATTTACCCGGAACAGGCGGTTGAGCTGGCTGCTGTTGTTGCTGTGCCACCGATACGGGCGTCGGCTGTGCTGCTACCGGTGGTCCAACGGCTGGTGGAGCTTGACTGCCATTTGAATTGTTTGGTGGTGACGTTGTTTGGCTCGGGTTAGCACCAGATGTCGGTATCGAATTAACGGAAGGATTTGCAGCAGGCTGATGATGTGTTGGCGGTGGAATTGGTTGCCCTAGTTTAGAAAATTGATAAATTGAAAGATTGATTTAAACTGATCCAAAACGAATGAGTTGAACTTGGGTTTCAGATGAATAGTTCGATGTAAAATTGATCGCTTGACTAAAGTTTTGAGTAATAGCTTACCTTGCTGAGAGTTTGGAGGATATCCGGGAGCACCCGGTGGCTGATATTGCTGCGGAGGTGGTGGATATGGGTTCGGATAGGCTAGAAGTGTTGCAAAATGAATTGAATTATTTCTCATTTGATATACGGCAAATTTTCAATGTGAATGAGTTCGAAATTACCTGGATTAGGCCCACCGTAGTAGTTCATTGGCGGCGGTGCATTTTGTGGATAAATATTTTGTCCATGTGGCCCATATGGATTTCCTGGCGGTGGTGGATAGCCTGGTTGATGGCCTGATGCTGGTGGCATACCATGATGGTACACTTGAGGTGCTGCATTTGGTGCGTAGCCTTGTGGACCATACGGAGGCATCGTAGGTGGATAGCTATTTGGCTGATACGCTTGACCTGAAAATAAGATAAATGAAAGATGTTTCACAATCAATTGAACAACAAAACAATCATTCGAATGTCATGTCATGTGATTCAGTTGAAGACAATTCTCAAGTCGATAGTCTTTTTCCAATGAATATTCAACCGTCTTGCGCTATTGCTTGTGTTTACCTTGTGGTGGTGGGCCGTAGCCATAATGACCGTGCTGCTGTGGTTGTTGATAGCCTCGATATGGCTGGCCAGGCTGTTGACCCGGCTGCGGAGGCTGTTGCTGATTTGGCGGCTGCGTTTGTGGCCCCTGGCCTTGTTGCTGTAATCAAATTCAAATTTGTTCGAATCACATTGAATGGTTGAGTGTTTGTACAAAGCACTGAGATCAAGCAAAACAGCAGTCTTACCTGTTGTCCAGGTGTTTGTGAGGTCTGCGAAACAGGAGGAACCGGTGGTGCGCCTCCTTGTGGTGGCTGCGAGCTAGGTGGAACATTTGGCCGTTGTGGGCCAGGATGTTGCTGTGGTGCTTGGTTTGCCTGCACTGGTGGTATCTGTGGCTGTGCTGTAGGTCGGGCAACCGAATTTCATGAATAAAAAATAGTGTCAATACAGGGGGAAAAGAACTAAGCAGAACTTTTTTCATTCATCGATTCTTTTGAATGAGAATCATTCAAGACGACTCGATATCAAATGAAGAAAGCAATTTTTCTGAACTTGTTACAATGACATAAATTGTGTGAAACATTACACATCGATTTACCCGAAACAGGTGGCTGAGCTGGCTGCTGTTGTTGCTGTGCCACCGATATGGGCGTCGGCTGTGCTGTTACCGGTGGTCCAACGGCTGGTGGAGCTTGACTGCCATTTGAATTGTTCGGTGGTGACGTTGCTTGGCTTGGGTTAGCACCAGATGTTGGTATCGAATTAACGGGAGGATTTGCAGCAGACTGATGATGTGTTGGCGGTGGAATTGGTTGTCCTAGTTTAGAAAATTGATAAATAAAATTAAGTTTCAGATGGATAGTTCTCAGGATGATAGCTTACCTTGCTGAGAGTTTGGAGGATATCCGGGAGCACCTGGTTGCGATGGTTGATTCGGTGGAATCGATGGATGCTGAGGTGGATGCTGCTGACCCGGATGCTGTTGTTGTCCAGGATGCTGTGGTCCATGCGGTGGTGCCGATGGATGGCTTTGACCAGGGTGTTGCTAGAAGGACATGACGAAAAACATGATTTAAAATCGCATTTATGAAATTCGTATTATTTCAATACTCCAATGAAGCAGAGATAGCGACTAGGCGTCTTCGGCTGATTTGTAGTTCTTTTTATTTTCTACAATAATGCCGAAGATCGTTATCTATTTCCAGTAGCGAAAAAAATATATGGTAAAACGGCTTTTCCGCTCAATGCTGAGTTGTGTCACTTTTGCTCGAAACTTTATTTGTATCTTTTTTGCTCCAAGTTTTTTTCCGTCTCAATTATGGATAAAGAGCTATTGAGTTGTTCTTTCATTTTATGGGTGTCAATTAATTCTCATTAAATTACCGGTCCTTGTTGTTGTTGTTGCCCAGGATGCTGTGGTTGACCCGGATGTTGTGGTCCACCAGGATGCGGTTGACTCGAGTGTTGTTGCCCTGGATGCTGAGGCCCATGCGGTGGTACCGATGGATGGCTTTGACCAGGATGTTGCTAGAAGAACACGATGAAAAACATGATTTAAAATCGCATTTATGAAATTGACTCTGATTTCATTACCGGTCCTTGTTGTTGTTGCCCAGGGTGCTGTGGTTGACCCGGATGTTGTGGTCCACCAGGATGCGGTTGGCTCGAGTGTTGTTGCCCTGGATGCTGAGGCCCATGCGGTGGTGCCGATGGGTGGCTTTGACCAGAATGTTGCTAAAATGACATGACGAAAAACACGATTATGAAATTAAATTGCATATAAACAGTGAAAATCTATATAATAGCGAATACTATACGTATATTTAGAAGTTTTTTCTTGTATAAATCTGAATTGGCTGCATAAATGATCGTGCCTGTACTTGGCAGTGTAATCGAATCTCATTATTACGCGTTTTTTTGTCTATGCATTGTAGCAAAATAATATTGAATCAAATGTACTGATATCCCTTACCGGTCCTTGTTGTTGCTGTTGTTGTTGTTGTTGCTGCTGTTGCTGCGTTTGTTGTTGTTGTTGCATATGCGACGAATTGGGTAATGGCATTTGATGTTGCATATGATTGGGATAAGCACCAATTGGTGGTTGCTGATTTGGATTCTGCCCTGGTGGTTGATTGGCGCCTTCACCTTGTCCAGGATGATGCATCGATGGCATCGGTTGCCCAATCGATGTTTGCAAAACATGCGGTGGCGGCAAAATTTGCGATATATTCTGTGACGAATCTAAAACCAAAAAAAAAAATCATTCAAATTAAATTGTGTTATTCTCTTCTCTCGATTCATATCATTCGACAATTGAATGCAAAAAAATTGATTTTTCATGAAGCGGCGCATTTTAAATACCTGCAAGTTGTGCTAAGTAAACGAGATTGCGGTGCAATGTCTGATGATAGGACATGCATTCGTGGCTTTTGCCAGCATGTTGAAATTCTTGAATCGTTTGAATTAGGCTACAATTTTCGTCGAGAATCTTCTGAATATGGGCTTGACTGGGTGGTGGTGGTCCAGATGCAGGTCCACGATTCGGCGGCATTGCACGATGCTGTTGTTGATTTGGTGCAGCGATGGGTGGCTGCTGTGCCGCTTGAGGCGCCTGTTGTTGTTGTCCATATGCTAAAGACATTTTCCTATCGATTTGAAATCGATAATCGTTTCGATGTGTAGTCTTCTCGCTCTAAACTCTCACTTTTAGGTTGTTGTTTTTTTTTCTTCACTTCTTTCAACGAAAATAAAAGCGCAGACAATAGAGACAGCGGAGCACACACAATATCACACACAGACAAACAAAGAAACTTCACTAATTACACTGAACAATGAATCAGACTAAATGTAATTTATCCAAAACACTGCCACAAACAAAAACCAATTCCAGTTCACGGAATCGTTGTGAGTTTATCGAATTTTAAATGTGCCCAATTTTCAGTGGGAAAAACATACGGGAAACTGTTTGATTATATAAAATTTGAATTACACATTCTACAAAATACGATTCGGCATTTTCCTTTAACACTAAAACATCTCTTGAAATGAGAGCGTCGTCTCTGCGATGTATACTAGCTGCGACGCCTGGCGGCATTCATTCGAATCATTGCCGATTTGACAAATGATGACAGTTTACGTTCTCATATCCATTCGCTTGTTCCCTATTGGTAATATAAACGATTTTCTAGAGTCAGTGCTTGACAGCTAGGTGCAATCAGTTTTAGTTAAATTAAAAAGAATTAGAAATAAAAACAATGACCGATTTAGATAAAAGTTTAGAACATTTATCGCTTGACGAAAACCTATCGTTGCGTCATAAAAAAGAGCGAAAAGAGCTGCAGGCAAAAGTTCAAGCGCTGAAAAAGACGGCTGGAAAAGGTGACAAAAAGAAGAAAAAAGAAGTGCTCGAAGAAATAGCACGTCTCGAAAGTGATTTGGAGAAGCGACATGCCGACGAATTGGCAAAAGCTGAAACGACCACAGTCAATGGGGTGGATCATTCGAACCAAGAGGATGATAATCAAAATCAAATCGATTCCAATGAGGCCGATGGTAAAATGAATCGTGTTTCAAGAGCTCAAAAACGACGTGATAAGAAGGCCAACGAAGAAAAGAATCGGCAAGCCGAAATTTTAGCTCAGGAAGAAATCAATAAAACCGGACCGCGTGTCATTGAACTCAATACAATCAAAAATATACTTGCAAAACGAAATCTACTCCTACATCCAATTGCTAGCGATGGAAATTGTCTGTATAACGCCATTCGAAATCAATTGCGAGTGACAGGAAGATTCGCTGATGATGTTCAAACGATGCGACACAAAACTGCCAATTATATTTCAGAAAATAAAGATTCACTGATTTTTTATATGACTAATCCCGATACTGGTGACTGTTTAACCGATGCCGAATTCGAAAAATACTGCGCCGATCTGAAAAATACCGCGGTATGGGGTGGTCAAATCGAAATCTCTGCACTGTCGCAAATTCTTCAAGTACCAATCGAAGTTATTCAAGCCACCGGCCCATCCACCATTCAAGGCGATGACAAATTCAAAGGCCCCAACCTCATCATCACATATCATCGCAACATGTACAGCTTGGGAGAGCATTACAACGGAACTAGACCGAAAAATTCCACCACCGACAACGATGACGGCGATGATAATGAAGAATAAAGAATTTAATCAATCGATAAATCGTAACCATACATTGATCAATGTTCCACACACAAAATCACAGTAGCCCGTGAACTCATTCGAAAATGTTAAATAAATTTTAATCAAAATTTACGCAATTTTGCTGTCTTTTTTATTTGAAACGCATGAAAATTGTATTGAACTTTACTTGGTTTAGTCGTGCACATGTTCTTTGAATGTACTTTGTTAACTCTTTCTTTAGCTTGAAAAAAGTGAAGCTGGTGTTGTATTGTTGTTAACCATTTTAGGATTCATTTATATAAACTCCACCAACGACAATAGCAAATAATAAGAATTTACTCTTTTAATAACTGAACCCATTCACCTTAACCAATACAAACCTCAATCCAGCTTGTAAACTCATTTGAAAACGTTAAATAAAATGCCATAGTCGTTTGTAAATTATGTGGTTTTTATTTTGAAATCATATAAAATCTATAGAAAACGAAAATTTTGCCTGATTTTAGCTTGCGTAAGTACTTGATACCATCGAAATCATTCAAGTAAAAAAAAAACAAACAACTTTTCAACTGCTTGAATATCTCTAAACAAAATTTGTGTTAATTTTTCTGTGTTTGAATAATCGAATGTAAAGAATTTCTATTGTTATTTTGGTTGCTATGAGCAAAAAAGGTGATCCATTCCCTAAATTACTGGATGAGTTTAAGAGCAGCATGTGGCTGGAGTTGGGTCCAAACCGGACCGCTTTGTGATGCTCAAGCGTGTAAATTCTTCGGCTGTGGTTGGATGAATTCCAACGGTGTTCAATAGTGTTTTGATCGTCAAACCAGCCCTGCATTTCAAGAATAAATCGAAATTAGTCAAAATTCTCTTTGAAAACGGGAAAATGTTTAAATAAAAACTGAAAAAAACATCGTTTTTCACCACGAAACTTACTTAACAGCAGCGCCAAATCCTTGAATCACTTCACCGGCAACTGGTCCAATATAATGTAAACCTACGACCTTTTGATCACCACTGCGGAATGCCACTGCTTTCAGGTAACAGTATCGAACGCTCTTCTGTGGGATAAAGAACTCAGTTGGTTTGTAATACGCATGGTAAACTTCCACGTTGTCTTCGCCGAATTTGGCAACAGCTGCTTCTTCGCTTAAGCCAACGCAACCATATTCCAGTGGTGAGAATACTGTGGTAGCAACATCAGCGTAGTCCATCTTCTGTGTTGCACCGGCGAACAAACGACGAGCAATCAAGCGACCAGCATGAATTGCAACCGCTGCAGAAAAAACCGGAACAAAATTAGGTGTTATCAGTCGAAATGCATTGATGCAGAGGCAAAAGACGTATTCCAATTGGTAAAAAAAAACTTACGCGTTAATTCTGGTTTGCCTGCTAGTACATCGCCAACAGCGAAAATATTTTCAACATTAGTTCGTTCTTCGTCATCAACCGCGATTTTGTGTGATCCTGGCGCTAATTTAACACCAGCTGCTTGCAATTGCAAATCATCTGTGCATGCCTTACGGCCGATGGCAAACAAAACGGTATCGTATACATCGGATCCTTGTTGACCTTCGGCATTTGAATAACGCACCAACAAGCGGCCATCTTCAGTTTTTTCAACGGCACTTGGTACTGCTTTGTTGATGAACTTTACTCCCTTTTCAGCTGAGGCGGCAGCAACCATTTCAGCCATTTGTTGATCGAATCCACGCAAAAAGATAGAACGAACCATAACGGTGGTGTCATAGCCGAAAGCATTCAGGAAACCAGCACATTCCAAAGCGATATAACTGGAAAATGAAGGGAGTTCATAAATAATTTGATGATGCTATTGAATGGGAGTCTATTTAGCAATAGAAAATCATTTCTCACCTGGCTCCAACGACTAATGTTTTGCCGGGTTCGTTTTTCAAGCTGAAAACGTCATCACTGGTAATTCCATGCTCGATGGCTCCTGGAATGTCTGGATAGTTTGGTCGACCACCAACAGCGATCAAAACGTATTTTGTGGTCAGAACTTTTTCAGTTTGATTTTTCATAACAGCAACAACGGTGTTCTTATCCTTGAAATAGCCCAAACCGTTGATATATTCGACTTTTCTGTAAACAACAATGAATAAATCCAAAAATTCCAATGCAAAATTGTCTGAGGTGTGTGTATCACATCAACTTACTTGTCACGCAAATCGACACGAGTCACCCAATTAACTGATTTGATATGATTTTCGACGTTTTGTCGCAGAACGCTCCAGTCCAATTTCAAATTATCCTTATCAACGTTCCATCCGTAGGCGGCGGCTTCATGAACTGCTTCGCCCAACAAAGCTGCTTGATGCATCAATTTCTTTGGGATGCAGCCAACATTGACACAGGTTCCTCCTAAGCCCCATTTGGTTCCTTTTGGTGTTGGCTTAACAAAGTCTAGCACAGCCACTTTGGCGCCATGAGCAACGGCTTCTTTGGCAGCTGCCAAACCGCCTGAACCGCCTCCAATCACGACCAAGTCGTACTCAAAGTTTTCCTCTGTGAAAATTAAAAAAGAAATTTATTTTCAGTGCAAATGAACAAAATAATCTTAGAAGTAGAAGAAAATGAATCAAAACCAAGCCTAATATCATGTGCTTCAATTCACATACCGCTCATTTTGTAAAACACGAAATACTGTCTAAGCAATAGAATGGGCGCGAATGATAAGAGCGTTCCGAACAAAAACCGTTTGAGCCACACATTCATCACTTCAACTGGGGCGGTTTATATCCAACTTGGGATGATTAAGCTAAAGAAATCGTGCTGCGATAAAATAACCATCGTACATGTACATACACAAGTGAGTGCATTAATGATATCGGATTTCTTATCTCGAACCGATACAACATCCATGACAGAAATGCAGCAGCGTGTTGAATCAACGGTGAATATACTCATTAAAGGCAATCACGATCTAAACTCGTTTTGATTATGCCAATTAAACATTTTATTGTGAGTGCGGTTTTTTTGACGTAATTTATGTTGTAAACGTTGACGTTTTACTCTTGGCACTTGTCATCAGTAAAAAAAACCACTTTGAACATTCAATTGTGGGTCTTCCACACACAAATTTTTTTATCAGAAGCAATTCATTTGCTTGTCATTCGGTATGATAACAGTGGTGCGGTGTAAGAATGAATCGCAAAAAATTTATAGGTTAGTTTTGCGTCAATCTATTTTGTGTGATTCGCGGGTGGATTCGTATTGAGTTTTTACCGTTCAACGATGTACTTGATATATGCACGAATTATCATCAAACGTGCACCTTACAAATTAACGTAATATCGATAAAACGTTTTTCCACAGTTGCAGTTTTTATTTTATGAATGGCGCATTTGGAATCACTTCATGCGGTGAATGCCGATTGATTTATTTACAATTCAGAAGTCAATCGAATGGGTGATTTATTTCGACACAAAACGATTTATTCTACGACAAAAAAGAAACAACAACGAATCCACAAATTTTGGCACCGATTCAAATGTGAAAGTCACTTTTTCTGTTGATTTTGGCTCCCAGCGGTTAATACTGTTTCGGTTGAGGCATTTCCATTCGAACATACACATACACCATAGAAAGAGACATTTCACGAAATACTTACGCAATCGCGACATGAAGCGTCGATGCATATTATTTAGATTTGTGGTAACTACTAAGCCAACGGGTGCAATTTGCCTTCGCAATAGATTAAAAAAGGCCATTTTCACTATGCCTATCCCCGACTTTGTGTCGCACACACCAACAACAACAAATGCCTTGTTTTTATTGCTGCTATTTATTTGATGATTGACAATAACACCGTAATGTAGTCATTTATCTCTTATTTGCCGTTCATCAACTAAATTTTGTTCGTTTTATACTGTCAATTCAACACAATCGAAAAAAAGTTTGGTTCAGAATTTGCATCTCAAGCAAATTGAATAAAAATTCTGTCGAAAATCGGCCGTCAAAATGAATTGAATCAAGATCAAAGTGTCACATCGCCGAACACACATACACAACAACACTGGCACATAGAAACATATCAAGCACACAAATAAAACGATGAGAGCGCGAGAAACGTCACCGCCGCTCACTCTTACATTGTGAACTCTTTTTTTCCTTCGTCGTTTTTTTTTCTCCTCTGTCGGTTTAATTGTATGCGAGAGATTAACTCGCGTACGGGCTTTGTGCTAAAGTGTGTTGAGTATTGTTTCGACAAACAATTTTCACAGTAGACAGCAAATAGATACAAGACATTGAGTGGTTTGACTCGAAAGTTACTGTTGGGATAAACGCATCCGGTATTGAGACGAAGACACAAGATATTTCGTGAAAAAATAAAATCATCATGAATTCAATTCTAATAACGGGTTGCAGTCGAGGACTTGGCTTGGGTTTGGTGAAACAATTGCTTGTGACCAGTCAACCGACAAAACACATTTTTGCAACATGCCGAAATCCCGACAAAGCACAGGTAACATGGATTTTCTCAAAATTTATTTCGATTTTATCATCGTTTGTCATAAAATCAAATTACATCATAATCACACTGAGGCACACACAAAAAAGAATGACTCCATAAAATCAATTCTAATACATATACAACTCGAAATCCATTTATGATTTTGAGTGAGAAAAAAACACTCTCGCGCAATCTATAACCTCATCGGAACAAAAAAAAAACATACACCCAGCACATTTCAACAACTACGATAAATTAAAAGAATATTTTCACTTACGATTAATTGGAGCCATTGTTGATTCTATGTAAATTTCTCTCTCTTAAAATTTCAATATTCTTTCTTTTGATTTTCTCTGAAAAAATTCCGTGAATTCTCTCTCACTCGCTGGTCACTTTTAGTTTTCTTGATTCTCAGACACTTAATAGAGTCTCAACACCGATGTGAACTATACAGCCGTTTGTTAAAAGAACTCTATATAACTAACAAAAGCGAGCAGAATGCCTTTACATACATACATTCACACATACAGAGAGTCGCACACATGCGAACGACACGATGACGATTGAATAGTGTATGCTGTGCTATGTCGGGTGTAGTGTTCGGATTCGAATAAGTTCGAGAAGTATTGAAATAAAAAAAACGTAATGACAGTCAGCGAAGTTTTTTTCCCTCTTTTCCAAATCAAGCGATGACGAAATACATTGATTAAATGTTTAGTTTATGTTTTTACGCTGTGACTGATTCATATTCCCACACTCGACACCAGCATTAACTGATTGGATTTGTTGTATTAGTTTTTTCGTACGTTGTGTCCGTCTTGTTCGGTTCCGTATATATTCAATTGTGTTCGATACATAGACAAGACAAATCGTAATGCTAATTCCCTTTCAAACCATACATTTTCAAAACGCGATGCCGGTGTGAACGCCGAAACGATACCGCTGCGTGCTTGTATATGTGTGTCAAAATTTAAATGATGACATTGAAATTGAATGTAGTATTAGATTTCATTCGTTGGTTGTTGTTTTTTCATATAGGGATTTTCATTTTTCATGAGCAAATATTATCTATATTTTTACTTATGGAATTTTCATATTTTGTCACATACTACAGGAGCTCAATGAATTAAAGACGAAACACAACAATCTGCACATTTTCCCATTGGGTAAATATTCCTTGTTTTTATTCATTTTTAAAGAGTTTTAATGAATTTTTTACTGAAACTCTCACCCTTACCTTGGTTAGATGTCACAAACTACGCTAGTTTCGATGCATTGGTGCAGCAAATCGATGAAATTGTCAAGGATGAAGGATTGAATGTGCTATTGAATAATGCTGGCATCTCGCCGAAATCGACTCGGTTGAATTTTGCCAAAGATTCAGACCTCAGAGACACATTCGAAACCAATACCGTGGCACCAGTTATGTTGACTAAGGTGTTTTTGCTCTTTCTTTCCAATCTTTTTCATAATTGATGAATAGATTTAACTTAAAATCTCGCTTATTCTCCTGCAGGCCTTCATCCCACTATTGAAAAAGGCTTCGAAGTTCAACGAAACCCAACCGATGGGCGTTCAACGTGCAACGATCGTGAATATGAGTTCAATTTTGGGTTCAATCCAAGACAATCAACAGGGTGGAATGTATGCATATCGTATGTCTAAAGTTGCATTGAACATGGCTACAAAATCGATGAGCCTCGATTTGAAAAATGATCGCATTTTATGTGTCGCAATGCATCCAGGTTGGGTGCGAACTGATATGGGTGGATCAAATGCTCCACTGGACATTGAAAGCAGCTGCAACCAAATGGTACAAACCATTCAGGCTTTGAATGAATCACAAAACGGCACATTTATTCAATTCGATGGCAAAGCATTGCCGTGGTAAATGAAGAAATCCAAGATGATATCGGAAAAATCAGCAAAATCATTATAAATTCGAAAAAATTACTGTAAATTGAAAAAAAGGAAAATAAAATGCATTTCTTTTGGATTCGGATTCAAAATTTGATACAATCTTAGCAATCTGTTTGAAACGACGAAATAAAAACGTACTAGAATTCAATCTGTTGCCATAGTACGCATCTGTCAAAAGCCGCTTTACAAAACAATCATGAACTGAGCAAACATCAGCGAATCAGGGAAATATGTATCGTAAAATATTAGTTGTAATTTGTTTATTAGTAAAATTTCACGATCTCAATGCATCGTCTTCCGATAAATTCAATGAAGAATTATTTGTGAAAGCCTTACATTCCGGCCATGTGTATACGTATTTCCAATTTACAACCGAGTGGTTACTACAAAGCAACGAGAGCTGTAAGTACTTGCTTGATTTTTTTTATCGCTTCTTACGTGAGTGAATAATCATAAGTTATTTTGTTTCGATGTAGTTTATCACACGCATTTAGTAGCTCGACCATTGGCTGAGATTATTGCAAAATATGACTTGATGGAATTGCACGTGAGTTTGTCCAATGGACTATGGCGATATGAACATTGGGGATATCCAGTTGGTAAGTTTTTATTATTGCATTAAAAAAATGTGCAATTGTTTACTGGAAACGTAGTTAGTCGCAAAAACTTCAATCATTCCATGCTTTTATAACCATGTTTTTGACTAAAAGTAATCATTTATGACCACTTTTCAGTCGATGCACCGCCTGGAGCTGAAGTGACTGTGTGGTTTAATGCCGAAAATCGTACCGATGAGTACATCGATGCGCAATGGAAAGAGTTGTGTGGTATTTTGTCTGGACTATTCTGTGCATCGTTCAGTTTCATTGACAAATCGAATACTGTTGAGCCCGAGTACACATTTCGGCCGACATTTTCACCGGGCACCGGCAAAGCAAATCTGAATAGTGTCGACACAAATAAATACCGCATTCGATATGCAACACTGCCGCGTGAAATTGTGTGCACGGAGAATTTGACACCGTGGAAGAAATTATTGCCCGGCAATAAACACGAGGGAATAAGATCGCTTCTGAACTCAGGCTACATTCATACGACTAATTATCATTCGCTAGGTTTGCATGTGCGTCGTTTGGCTCGATCGCCGGCTAAATCTGCACCAGAACCAGGCCAATTATTGGAAGTGTTGGAGATCAAACAAACAGTCAATTTGGTATTTGACACAAGAATCGTATCAAATTCGAGAGACTGGTCAATTCGAAAGCTCTTCGGCCAAGGAATGGATGGTGCTCATGGATTGGCTGAAAGTACGAATTATCTTCTGAACTTATTTCTTATTAGTAGTGGTTTCATTTTGAAAATAACGGCATTTCTTTTCGATAGGTAGTAAAATCTATGTTGATATCACCGATGCCAGTTTTAAGCTAACGCCCGAACCTACGGAGATCATTTCATCGCAAAGAGGCGGAGCAACAACAACATTTGCTGTTTATGATGCCAAAAACAAGTTCAATCGGCAATTATTTTCGATTGCTGGCATTTACCCAACTGAAGATGAAACAAACAACGTTCCAACTGTTAGCATATCAGCTCCACCGCCACTCTATGCCCATCGATTCCTTTTGGGTGTCGGTCAAGAGCGTGGAAAAATTCTTACCAAAATCACAAACACGCATTGGGCCACATTGAATGTTGTGCTGCAGGAGAATTTACCTTGGTTTGTACCGGTCTATTTGCACACGCTGACAATCACAGTGAATGGAGTTGATAAGAAAATCGAAGCCAATGCCATCAAATACAAGCCAGGCAAACTGCGAGAACAACCATCCCAGCTGGAAATTGCATTTAAAATCCCGAGCCGAAGCACAGTCGATGTTGCCATTGACTTTGATTATGTTTTTCTGAAGTGGCTTGAATATCCACCCGATGCAAACCATGGTCATTACATCGGATCAGCCATTTTGGTGGCTCAGTTGCCTGTTGCTAGGAACTACACAGCCATTCCAATTGATGGCCATTTGTTTGCGGACAGTTTCAATGCCAGCCGATCGCAGGGATACTTGGTGACAATTCGTACTGAGTCGCTTTTGATTACATTGCCAACTCCCGATTTTTCGATGCCATACAATGTCATTTGCTTAGCATGCACCGTAGTTGCCTTGGCATTCGGACCCATTCATAACTTTTCGACCAAGAAACTTACCTACAGCAAAAAATCCAAAACTGGAGAAGAAAGCGATGCACCAAAGTCTTTATTAGCCAAAGTCAAAGCACTCTTGTCATTCAAAAAGTGAAAATTCGCACATAAAGTTGATTTTTAATCCCGTTTTGTTGTTTTGAAGCAGAGAAAAAGTGTAGAATTTTTTTAAATGAAAATAAAGAAAAGTATTGAAATTTTATTTTAAAAAAATGGACTCGATGTGTTTCAAAATGATTGTTTAATGTTTATTCAAAAATTCATTAAGTATTACCAGGGCAACCGAAAATATTTACGAAAAAAGTCAAAATATTTATTTATTTATGCACGAAAAAACATCGAAATATTTACGATAAACTAAAAATAAGCTGAAAATATTTACGATAAAAATAAGTGGAAAAAACCTTATATTTTGAATATTTCTTGACATTTTCGACAGTTAAGTATTATTCGAAGTTGTTACAGAAAATGATAACGTGTTTAGCTAAATTTTCGAAAAGGTATGAACGTCGATTGTCACGCAAAACAATCAAAAATCTCCACTGTGAATGGATTCTTTGTGATCATTCTGCTATGCAATGCCAAAACATGTGAGATGTCATTGTAATTATTGCATTGAAACTACATTTCATACATTTGGAACAAGTATAAAATGTTACAAAGGTACAGTTTTTGGAACGTTCAATAAACTCAATGAAAATATATTAATTTGGTCAATTTGTTTTGAACATGTTTCCTAGTTTTTGAAGAGACTAAACTCATATTTTCAACAGATATATAAAAAAAAGTTGGATTTGGTTCAATTCAAAAATGCAACGTGTTTTATATTAAAGTGATCAATACAAATAAGTAAAATATCAAACAATGTAGGACTTATTTTTGAATTCATCTTGATCAGTTATTCTATCATTGCTCAATTTGTCTAGCAATTTGTTGATTATCAAAATCTGTGAAATCTAACCGTAATCCCTTGCATGTCGGTTGATATTGATTATATTCCACGCTAGCTGCATCCAACATACGTTTCGATGCTTCCACCTCAATCGTGTGCGATTTTTTATCTGACATGTAGACGATTTTTTTGATTCCAGATTGAATGATGATTTGAGCACAGCGATTGCATGGGAACAACGACACATAAATTGTGCTATTTTTTAAATCAGCTGAAAATCGATTTATGATAGCATTTTCCTCAGCATGTACTACGTACATGTGTTTCGAATCGATTGGATCTTTTGTACTTTTGCTCCATGGAAATAAATCATCACTGCACCCGATTGGAAATCCATTGTAACCGACACCAATAATTCGTTTATCTTCGTTCACAATGCAAGCACCGACTTGCGTAACTGGATCCTTACTCCGTTGCGCAGAAATAAGGGCAACACTCATGAAGTAATCTTCCCATTTCAAATAGTTTTTCCGCTTTTCCGTCGGAATTTTCCCTTTATCTTTCGCTTTCAATTCACTGATCGAAGCCACGCCAACAGCTATGCCCAAAAAACCCGATGCAACACATTTTAATATCGTATGCTGCATAATTGTCGTTATTTTCACGGCTCTTTTTGGTTTTATTTTTATTTTTCTACACCACACCAAACCTGATAGGTTTGTTAGAGTTTGCTCGCTTAGACGAATTTTTTTCCAAAATTATCAATTTTTCGCGTTGCCTTCACACTTCTTTTTCAAATGATTATTTCCAACTGCGGAAACAAACACCCATTGTATCCAAGGGCACAGTCAAACTGAACAACACTTAATGTAGAGTTTAGTAATATAAATAATGCCTACTACTATTTCCATGAAAATGTTTCAAATGCCAATCACCATTCAACATATTGGAAATACTAGAATTGAATTGGTGAGACGCTTGTATATTTTGCGCGTGTTTGTGAATATTATTAATAATTATGTTCGAATGCAATAAAATTTCTTCAAACTTGTTTTAATTGTGCATCCGAACGTGTTTTTTTAAGGTCATCCACACAATGTTGAATGCAAACCGTACCGAATCGTAAAATTTACCGATGCAAAAACTGTATCTAATTCTGGATAAACGAAATGCAAGTGAAATAGCACAGTCGTTGCACTCACACGATAACGAGTGCATAACGGTCTGGTACTAGTTGAGCACTAGCTGTTGTGTGCACGATCACCGAATTCTTTCTTCGCACTTTCACTTGCACTTTCGTCTATTTTACTGTGTGCGTTCATATGGATATTTTGCATAGATGCAAATATCGCATTGATGAGCTATATGAAAATATACGTTTTCTATGGAAATTTCGACTTTCAGAACGTTTAAAGTACAGACAAAATGTACAAATAAAGAAAATTGCTACATTTATTTTATAGGGCATAATCATTTCTGGGCATTTGTTTTATTTCAGCCAACTTACCTACAGAAATACATTTCTCAAACATCTCTGGACTTCAATTTCATTCAGTTTTCGACAAAGAATTGATTGGTAGTTTCAGTTTTCATATCTGCTCTAAGCCGTTTTGAAAAATACCTGGACAAAACGGATAACAAAATTGAAGTTCAGACATGTTTGAGTATTTCTGAAATTCGCAATGAATTTGATTTTAAACCCCCGTTTTATTGTCGTGTTTTTGAACAAAGAACGTTTTACATTTTGAAGCAGAGAAAAAGTGTAAGGATTTTTTTAAATGAAATAAAGAAAAAGTATCGAAGTTTTATTTGAAAAAAAAAACAACCTATTCTTTATATTGGAAATTTCATTGTTTATTCAAGAATGTTTTGTGTTTTACATTAAAGTAGTTAAACAATACTAAACATTTGCCTTTGAATTCTTTTTGATCATGCATGTTGATTATCAAGATTGCACGATTTTTTGATTATCAAAATCTGTTAAATCTAACTGCAATCCCTTGCACGATGGTTCATATTGTTCATATTTAATGCCAACCGCATCCAACATATCTTTCGATGCTTTCACTTCTTCCGTGTCTGCTTTTTTATCTGACATGTAAACGATCTTTTCAATTTTAGATTGGATGATGATTTGAGCACAGCGATTGCATGGGAACAACGACACATAAATTGTGCTATTTTTTAAGTCGGCTGAAAATTGAATAATTATAGCGTTTTCCTCAGCATGTACCACGTACAAGTGTTTGTATGGTTTATTCCATGAGAATTCATTATCACTCACACCGGACGGAAATCCATTGTAACCGACACCAACAATTCGTTTATCTTCGTTTACAATACAGGCACCGACCTGTGTCTTTGGATCTTTACTACGTTGCGCAGAAATAAGGGCAACACTCATGAAGTAATCTTCCCATTTCAAATAGTTTTTTCGCTTTCCTGTAGAATTTTCCACTTCTTCGTTCGCTTTCAATTCACTGCTAGCACTCTCCATAGTTGAGGGTAATGGCTCTTTTTCTTGGCCTCTTTTTCTTTTCATAACACCAACTCTAATAGCTCTATAAATGAAAATCTCTCCAAAATTATTTATTAATTGCGTTTTATTCACTCTTGTTATTCGAATTGATGTTTCTAACTACGGGAACAAATACTTATTGTATCCAAGTTCGCAGTCACACTAAACGAAATAACAATCGCCATTGGCCAATTTATAAGCAAAAGAAATAAAATTGGTGGGGTATTTGAATATATCGCGCATGTCTTTAATTATATTAATGACAGTGTTCGAGTGCAATCAAATTGTTTCAAACTTGTGCATCGGAATTCCTTAAAAAGTGTATTTTTTCAAGGTCAACCATATGCAAACGTGCTGTTTTGTAAAATGTAGCTTTCCAGTCGTTGTCAGGGAGTGTGGTTTCGCTGCTGAGTAGGCCTGCTGAACTGAATTTCCTGACACAGGCGCTGGAACGTTATTTTAACGTTTTGGCGGTGCAAAATATTCAATGCTAGCAAAGATCCACATTTTATTGATATACGATGGACTTAAGTGGATTTCTGCTAACAATAAACATATTGCACTGTGATTGCGTTAAAATAGCGCTTCAGCGTCTGAGTCAGAAAATCCAGTACAGCTGAGGCCTGCTCAGCAGCAGAAATTCAATCTCAGGTTGTTGTCGTTACAATCGCGGGCTCGTTATGTGCAATGTACACGTGTGCAGACGAGTACCGACTTCTTTTTTCACACTCAAACTTACTTTTTCTCTCAGCCGTAAAAATGTTCGATAGAAAGAACCAATTTTTTAAAATTTCAGTCGAAAAAATACAGCCAATGTGCTTTATTGACGACATTAAGCTCAATTTTTTTTTTAAAACAAGAGCGAAAACAATGTTTTTACTATGAAAATAATATTACTTTTACAGTTCAAAGGCATCTTCATAATTATCTTTGAATTCGACAATTTTTTCCAGTGTTTCTTCGTATTCGTCCGGCTCCAAACCACACTCCTTAAACCGATGAATTCTCGCCACTTTGATCCGTTTGGCTTCTCTATGTAGACTTTCTAACGTTTCAGCCAATTCATTCGAAGACTGCGCCGTGGCCAAAACTGGAATTGAATCGACTTTATTTTTTGCCGCTTCGTCAACGCTCATTTCAAATTCGTTGTAGAATCCCTTTGAATTCAGACGACTATCAAAAATCTCCACTGGGAATGGTTTCTTTGTGATCATTCCGCTTTGCAATGCCGAAACGTGTGAAAGACTATTGTAATTACTGCATTGAAAATACATTTGGAACATTTCGGCAACGCTATCGCAACGATATGCGGCCATTCTGTGCTGACGCTCAATTTCTTTTCGTAACTTTGTATTTTTGAGACGACTCCCTGGAATTCCACGCACGCTGACACTCTGTACGATGCGATCGGTGCCGATTTCCGAATTGGGCGATAGTTGTGTGAATAATTTGCCATCAAATTGATCGAGACAGTCGATGAGTTCGTGCTCAGATGACATGTTGAATGGCATAGCCAATCCAGCGGCTGCCAATTTTCGTCCATAATTCGTTAAATCATTACAAAAACCAGCTAAGTGACACGTGTCAATCGTTTCACTCATACGATAACGCAAACTAATTGTGTCGAGGTAGGTGGCTAAAATTGATGATGTTTCGTACAAATTGGATGAATCATATTTGAAGTGTGGGAATAATCGTGGTCGTGATAAATTACGCCAGCATCGCGTCATCGTCGAAAGAGGTAGAATCAAGGAACTGTAATCGATAATATTTCCGTATGTTAAGGCTGCATTAATTACACGCGTTGAATCACATAGTGCTTCCGTAGCTTCAGGGCCGCATGCGATTTGCTTCGGTGAAAATATCGGTATGGTAAAATTGGTTTTACCATAATCATCTTGAATGTGCTCTAAAATTTTCAACGCTAGCCCAGAAAATGCATCAGATGCATCGAATAACATTTGAAACCCTTGGCAATTGTTACATTCCTCAATGTACTGCCGTATGCGATCTCCAAACTCATCGTCGAAATAATTTTCCGTCCACATTTGTGCACCACGTGTGTAACAATCAAAAGCAATATCGCTTGATTTGTTCAATGCAGGCAGTAGATTTATACTTCGTGGATGATATCGCGTGTACATATAATCGGCCCATGTTTTCGTGTTGTTTCGAAAATCGTATTGTTTTTCCTCAACCGATTCAGCGGTTCCATCCAAATCTTTCTGATACTCTGGTTTTTCAATAGGGTCATTTTCTAATACTTCCAAACGGTTTGGCTCCCATAAAGTATCCTGTTCAGTAACTTTCATCTCTTCCGACTGGACTTTTTTTAGAAGCGATGCTTGATCACTGTACAATCCTCCATCGGCTGGCAAGTGCGATAAGGCACCATGATGGTCAATCAACAACAAACGAGGAGTGTATGTAATATAACCCTGGAAAATAGACAAAGAATAATTCGGATGAGAATTTTATTTCATATAAAATGATATTCTAGGAAATTCGGCTAGAAAAAACTAAAATTACCTGTTGATTTACACCTTCACGGAATAAAATATCGTTGCTCACTTCTGACGGTGCACCATGTGGATTGTAATTAAATGCTGATTCCTATAAGAATGATTTTAGATAAGTTTTTTTTTCTTTCAATACAAATCAAGATTTAATCGACTTAATTATTCAAAAGAAGGAATAAAAAGACTACCAACAAAAAAGTATCCACCAATATGTTTACACTCACAAATGAAATTGTGTCAATTTTCAAAACAAAATTTCGAATTAAACAAAATTCATCTAAATCTCAAACAATTGCACATCTTTTCCATTCGTCACGTATAAAAATCAAAGAAGCGGAACCAAAAATGAGTCACAAACTTACCTGAATATTCCACCAATGTGTGCCAACGTAATTGGAATAGTTTCCAATTTGAAGTGTGATTACTTCTCGTGTAAATGCCATTCTCATTAACTAATCCAAAAACACATTAATTGCTTTAATTTCAGTTGTAATGCGTGAAAAATGCGAAAAATAGCGTTATTGCGTTGCATGCGGTTCACAAGAATGTGTCATATTGTGTGTGTGTGTGGGCTGTAAACAAAGCGAAACTTGACGTTTCATTTCGCTGCTAACTTCAATGACGTTTCTGTATTTGAACGATTTACCAATTTTGACATCTAAGTCCTTCAGCAAATACATAATATTATTAGAGTAGAACTCATGTAAAATAAACACATAACGTCACGTTTGATCCAAAATTTTAATCGAGTAAGTCTTGTTATGGTGAATTTTTGTGTTATTATTTGCTTCAAAACATCTTGATTATCTAAATAAAATTAAAGTTCTTTAAAAATTCATTGATTTTCCAATAAAAATAAAATACCTTATGGATTCATTTCAAATTAGAGTATGGACGATTCACATTTCAACGATATATTTAGCGACCTGGAAAGCGACGAAACAAAAACAAAGTTCAACAAAGCATGTGATTATTTGCAGCATTTAGTGAATCAATTAGAGGCGAGTCAATTGCTCGAATTTTACGGCCTATACAAACAAGCCACCGTTGGACCATGTAACACATCCAAACCGGGCATATTTAGTATGAATGCTCGTGCCAAATGGAATGCATGGGCCGAGTTGGGTACAATGAACAAGGAAACGGCAATGCGAACGTATGTATCGAAATTGGATGAAATCGAACCGGATTGGAATCAACATGATGCATCGAATACAAAAGCAAAAAAACCAACTTGGGTGTCAGTGTCAACGCCTGTGGTGGAAAGTGATGACGAGCACAAAGGCGATAAATCATTGATTGACCACGTAAAAGATGGGAATGTTGATGAGATTTTGACATTTTTCAGTGCATCGATAACGATTGAACAACACGATAAACCGAAAAAACTTCCCGTCAACGAGTACGATGGCGATGGATTGGGCGCCATACATTGGGCAGCTGATCGTGGTCATCATCAAATTTTGGACATTCTTCTTCAGAACGGAGCCAACGTTAATCTCATCGATAAAGATAGTGGACAGACGGCATTGCATTATGCCATCAGTTGCAGCCATGTGGAATGCATTAAGATTCTTTTGCATCACGGAGCCAATCCACACATCACCGACTCAGATGATGTAACTTGCATCGATCTAGCAAACGAATCAGACGATCCAAATATTATTGATCTTTTGAAAACTTAAAATAAATGCACAACATCTGAACAATTTAGAAAAATATTCCATTTTTAGTAAATTGTCTTTACTGCTGAATTTGTTTTCTTCTTCCACGAAGATTTTTCCTCATTCATAAAATGCGTTTCTATTCACATTGAACAATTGAACGTTTCGAAAAATTGAACGTTTCTTTCTTACTCTATTTCCCCTTTTCGACGCATTGACAGTACACTGACACGACGTTGATTTTGACAGCAAAACACACCAAGCAGACACAAAAGCCAACATTATTACGTGTTTACACACAATATACATATTTTTTTCTTTCTCTCTCTCTCGTTTATTTTTATCGTTCTGTGTGTTTGACTTTCGAAATCAATCAATTGCAACAAATCAACGGTGATTATAGCAATAAAAATAGTTGAAATAGTGGGAAATGTCATCGATTTAATGGCGTTTACACGGAAAATTGCACAAAATTCAGCAAATTGTGTACGTATTCCATTTACAGTGCCCCCCATAAAGTCGATATCATTCGCCAGACTTTGACTTCTACGACTTAAATTCTGTGCAGCGATGTTCTTATCTGGAAAAAAAGAAGATATTTTGTGATTCTAACGATATATAAAATCCAAAACGAAACACATAATAATGTTATAATTTGTCGTCGAATGAAAAGATGAGTAAATTTTGGGCGGAGTTCTAGGCGATTGTAAATAATTGAATAAATGTCAATAAATTATAGAAATTGTGTACGTGTAAATGTGCAAAAATTTTGATTAATCCAATGCTTTAAATATGTTATATTTAAATTGCGACAAATGTTTTGTCTACAAATCTGAGTGCCACATATAGAATGTGGTTGGTAAACAACATAAAAATCAAGAACACACAGTATTTTGCGTATACTTTTTAACCAGTGTAAATTAAATAAATTCCAATAATGAGTTGGTTCGATGCGACCGGTACTATAGCCAGTTTGGCAAAGAATGCATTAAAAGAAGCACAAAAAACCATTGACAAAGCATTAGATATTAAAGAAGACGAAGATGATGATGCTAGTGATTTGAAATCGTCAAGTTCAACGTCATCGTTGAGTGCAAAGTCAGCCGAAAAGTATTCGCCCGATTCATCGGAAAAAAGTGATAGTTTAAAAGTGATGAAACCATCGATTAGTAATCCAATTATGTCAACTGTTGCCACAGCGACGTCGGCCAGCAATTTATGGGGCTCGTTTACTGGATCATTTTTCGATGCTGCCCATGAAAACAATGAGAGTGGCAAATCAGCCGTGACAATTGCACCGACCAGCCGAAGTGAATCTCGATTGATTTCCAGCAAAGGTGACGATAAAAAACAAAACACCAACATATCAGGTCGCACTAGTTCAGCATCGGAATCAGTTGAATTGCTTAGCTCACCGATGACACCATCGTCAGGGTTGACATCACCATCTGGAAGTACGTTCTAATGCAATTCAATCAACAATTCTTTACTTAATGTTCTTAATGTTTCGTTGTTCTTTTTAGATTATCCACAGCCATCGTCACTATCACCGTCCATAATAACGCTGCAACATTCCCATAGAACCTCCGATTCCATCGAGGTGATTAGAGATGCGTCGTCAAGTGAAGCAATGTCCCCCGACTCGGTAATTTCAACGCCAGCTGTCAACACATCGACCAGTTGCACGTCCATTTCGGACAGTGTAGAAGTGATCGATGTGAGTGTATCCGCATTCAATGTAACTTCACCCAGCACAGATGATTTATCATTGCGACAATATGACGATGAAGATGAATCCCAGTCCTATAATACCGTATCAGAAAGCACGGCTCCTGTTACGATTTTAGATCCAAGTGCAATTTCACAGCAGAAAACCTTAAATCGAAATAGTTTAACGCTGACTCTGCCAACGCTTGTTGAACCATCATCAACCGATGTAAAAGAGAAATCAATTGAAACTTCACATTTGAAACCATCGGGTTCGGTTATTTTAGACAAATCGTTTGAGGGTCTTGATATGCAGACCACATTCTCCGATTCGACGCAAAGTTTCGAAGATGTTCAGCAGATTCTATTGGACGAAGCCGATAAAGGTCATTCGAAGCACACGATAAGAGATGAAGCACGGCTATCGCCACAGAGCACTGACGAGAAAAATCCATTAGAATCAAAGGCAACAATGACAAGTGATCACAATTCCGGTCATACATCGGCAGATGAAATTGAAACGGCCACTTCTTCCGATATCGAAATAATCTCAGGCCCGAATGGCGATTCAAGCAGTCATACAAGCAGCGTTGCTGGTATGGTGATTGCCTGCAAGTCATCCAAACTACCAACTCATTCGCAGTACGTTGTATTCGGCAATCCTGGCGGCAAAAAGAAAGGTCATTATCGTGAACTGAGCGAAGCTTCAACGTATTCATTGCAAAGCGAAAGCGGCAGTGACGGTTGTTCTCATTCCGAGTATGAAAAACTAGCGCAAAAAGTCACCGAACTCACCGAAGTGATTGAAAATCGTGAATGTAAATTGGTACAATTGGGCCGTGAAAATGCTCAGCTGCACGAGCAAAATACCGAATTCAAAAATAAACTCGATGCACTGCAATTGCAAGTGGATTCACAGGGCATGAACACGGACGATTACACCCAAAGAATGTCAGCGCTCGAACGGAAATTCCAGCAAACACTTCGCGAACGCGACACATTACGCGTGGAATTGAAAAATGTTCAGGCGAATTTTAGTAAAAGCATTTCCAAAGAAGATATCGATAAAATTGTTCAAGAGAAAGACACAATGATCGAAGAGCTCAAGCTTGAGGGTTTAAAATTATCGAAACAAATTCTGCAGCATTCGACAATTACGAAAAAATTGCGAGCAAAAGAAAAGGAAACTGATTTGCAATTGAAAAAGCAGACGGAACAAATCGAAGAATTAACGCTTGAGTTGGAACGTGTAAAGAAATCACTATCGGCCAAAGAAGAGGTGGAAAAGACTCAAATTCAGGCCATTCATAAATTGACATCGGAAAAGCAAAAGTTGATCAAAGAAGTGGCTCAACTGAAAAGTGATTTGGACGATACGACTCAACGATTGAACACCGTTCAAACGTCTTTCGATGCTGCACGCAAAGAGTTAACCGAAAAACAGCAGGAGCATTATTCGCTAGAGAAGAAAGCAAAGAATTTGGTCACACTACAAACGGAGCAGCAAACATTGCAACAGCAAAATCAACAGCTAACCACTGAGATTGAATCATTGCGCGAAAAGATGAAATTGGATGCCATTCAACAGGCGGATCAATTGCAGAAAGTTCGACAAGAGAATGCCGCGTTAGTGCGTCGATTAGAAGAAATTGAACAAAGATCTGAAGACCAAGCGCACGCCGTTACTGAAGCAACAATTCCACTTGTCAAGCAATGCCAAAGCCTACAGGTAACTTTGAACACACGAACATTAGCATGGGAAAAACAGGAGACGAGTTTTCTCAAGAAAATTGAAACTCTCGAAAAAAAATTGGCAAATGTATCAATTAATGAACAATCGGCCAATGAGCAAAGCGATCAACTGAATGCACGCATACACAACTTGGAAGAATCATTATCGAAAGCATTGTTGCGAAGTGAACAGTCGGCCGCTTCGCTGCAACAAAAACAAATGGAACTGGAACTTGTGCAAAATGATTTCAAACAAAAACAAACAGCTAATGAAGCGGAAATTCAGTCGTATCAAAACAAAATCAAAGAGGTAGACGCAACAATTGAACAATTGCATAAGGAATTGAAAGAGAGCCAGGAGAAGGAACGACAGTATTCAGCAGCGGTGGAAAAACCGAAATTCATACGGAAGATAAGTTCGGTTGAATTCGCCGAAAATAGCGTGGAATATAGCAATGAAAGTGATCAAAGCGATGAACAAGAATTGAGTCGCATTGTAAATAACAGCTCACCGGTGTACAGTGTTGGAAAAATTTCAGCCAATGACTCGACTTGGCAATTGGTAAGGATTTATTGGAATTTGATTTGAATAACAAGCAAAGTAGATGGGATAACATAATTTTTGACACTTCATTAAGCTTAACATTCAAGTCTTAATTCATTTGAAGTGGTGAATTTTCACTTGGTTTGAAACGAAATTCTTAATATAATTGTCCGTCGTTTACACGAAAAAAACCCAAACCTATTTCAATACAATGAAAAGACGGAAATCGTTTAAAAACACATGAAAATTTTGTAATAAATACAAATTCCATTTTCTTCTTATTTGTTTCTAGGACGATTTGGACTCAGTGTCAACGGTGGGAATTCAGCAGCGCACACCAACCAATTCAATGTATGGTTCGGTTCCTTTAGCATTTTCCGGTGGTTCAGCACTCATTGAAACTTTGCAATCGAGTCTAAAGCAGCGAGATGGTGAAAATCATCAGCTTCAATGGGAATTGTCACGGCTACAGTCGGAACGTAATTTCTTGTTATCTGAAGTATCATCGCTAACATCGCAACTTGAAGGGGTAAAGCTAATTTTTTTTTTTCATTATAATAAAATTCTGCCAAAAATTCGTTCTAATTTTCCCAATTTCACTGCAGATCAAGGATAAGCTAGCAACACATGATTCAGTTGTGAGTCAATTCAACCAGCTGCAAGAGCAGTACGACGCCATACTCCAAATGTACGGTGAAAAAGTGGAAGAAACCGAAGAGTTGCAGTTGGACTTGCAAGATGTTAAAGACATGTACAGATCGCAAATCGATGACTTGCTACTGCAGCAGCGCCAATTACAACAAAAACTGTTTGAAGCGCAACAAAAAGCCAACGATGCGAGCAAATAAAAAAAATCCACCATGAAATTGCAGAATCGTTCATAAATTCTGCTTTAATCCCAATATTCAAGTGAAATTCCCGGTGCTAAAAGAGAAAAATGAGAGAAAAAAAAATCAGAAGAATAAACCATCGAACATAGTTCGATTTAGAATGAACGCCGGCGGCGATTCACATTTTCCAACATGTTATTTTAGTTGTTTTTTTTCTACATGTTCTTGTTCATCGTTACAGAAGTAAAAAAAAAATCGTATTTATTTAGATCATTGGAAAATCCCAGTAAATCATTTATTTTAGACGACAAGAAGAGAAAAGTGAAATTATTTGATGCCAATTTAAAATATGGATGGCCAAGGATATGGTTTTTTTATATATATAACAAATGGATATGACTTGCTTCACGAAATCTTGTTATTTATGTGTAATCGGATGCAAGCATGTATAAATCAAATTTTATGAAAAACAAAAATTAAATGTAAAACACTTCGAAATATATACCAAAAAATTGAATGTATTTTTATTTGACTGCCGTTACCATTTGTCTCACCATTACCGTTACAACGTTAAAGTAAAGATTTGGAATGTGTGTTTCAAAACATTCAAAGTACAAATTTTGGAAGATTGGTTGCTTTGAAGTGAAATTTAGTACAGTGGACTTAATTTCATTTCTGAGAAAAAGGTTTGAGTTTAAATCAACTTAACGCGGTAAATAAAACTCAGTTCATGGTTGCATGATATATCCAATTACGTTTATTGAACATTTAGGTCAGATAATTTGTTTTCTTTTCGGTATAACTTAAAATCCAATTAAAATGAATGAACATAATTTGAGCGACCGGAAGGGTCTTCAAAATAAAAAAAAAAGTAAATTCATCTGGGCCGCGTTTCTGTTTCCATTAACTTCGTGCCTGATATAGCAAATAAAACGACATGGTAATTCAGATGATTTAATTACAAGGAAAACGTTACTTTTTTTTTTCTAAATTCCAAAACATAATGAATGATGATAATTTTAATCGGTTTGCCAAATAATCGAATGAGTGTTGAAGAAAATAACTTTGGATAATTTCGGATTCACAATTCAAATGAAGATACACTGAGATTGAATGATGTTAGTCTGCACAATGAAAAAAAGCTGTCATATAATGCCGCTTGGACAGTGTTTCCTTATCTCCTACCTACAGCCACACCGTCATCAGATCTCTGGTCACGATCATAGAGTAGCGTAGTGAAAGCAAATTTACTTTTTATCTTTAATTTTTCTTAAATGATTTGATTCTGATACATTTTTCTTTCCAAATTTCATTGGATGCCTTGATCTTTATGTTTTTTATATTCTATACATGTATATGTGTGTGTATTTTGCTCGTTGAGTTGGTTTTTATGATGGCAAATTTGAAACGAATACACAAAACGCGAATTGAATGCAGAAATTGCACCAAATGCGAGCCGGTCGCAGCTTGACCGGAGCGCTTGCTTCCTTGTAATCTATTTTGAGTTTGCTGTGTTGTCAACGCAATATATTTCCATCAACCACCCGAAATATTGTGTAGATCTTAAATTGAATAGCCATGTTCTTTTGTTTTTACTTAAAACACTATTTTGTTGTTGTTGTTGTTGTTCCTCTGTTTGTGTTTGGGGGGTGAAGATGCGAAATGCGCTTCGATGACAACGGGACACAAACGTCGTTACGTAATAATGTCAAAAGAAATTATTTTCCATCAAATTTCCAAATCGAAATTCGAATGCGATTTTTTTTTAGTTTCTTTTGATTTTAGTTGTTCACAGTTTCATGGTGTATTGAATCGATGTTATAATGTGTTCACACCCATGGCGTCCATCCTTCGTAGAGAACGGCCAAATTGTTGGGATCCATTGCTTCGCGTATCATCCAATCAACTTGTTCGGCGGTTGAATAGCGTCGTGTTGGATCCGGATCACGACCCTCCAGTTTCATGCGAATACGGCGCCACACAGACACTGCATATGCGTTCCGTTTTTGCTCCGTTCCTATGGTGAGACGGACAAATAGGTGTCAATTGAGTTAGTTTCAGTTAAGATGTTAAAATTGAGGAACAAAATTAAATTTACCTTTTTGTGTCTTCGATTTTGATGGGCTGCTCGGTCGACTGAGGACACAATCCTGTTGCTGAATTTGGGCGATGACTGGTGTCGTTAGCATTTTGTCGTTTTCAGTCAACAAATGGCCGACACTAATCAGATTATTGAATGTATCTTTCAATGTGTTTAGTAATTCAGCAGTTTGATTGAGTGTAACGTTCACCAGTTCTTCGGTGAAATCTTTGCTCATAATATGGCCTTGCAGTTCGGCAATGGTTTCCTTCATCAAATTATGCTTCTCCACGTATTCGCCCAAAATGGATTTCTTGTCTTCGTCGACCATACGATAAATTGCATTTACCAAGTTCAAAATTTTCGGCGCGATGCGATTGTGAGTAGCCATCAATGCACGTAATCGATAAGCACACGATTGTAATTCATCTTGTGAATCAACGATTTCCCGTTCAATCTTGCTTATGTCCTGCTGTACTTGGTTGACCAATTCATCAATTAATGCCGCGACATTGTTCAACCACATTCGATCAATTGGACCCTCTGGATCAAGCATCTCAATGAGGCCCTCTTCAATCGGCGTGACAGCGTTTACACATGTTTTTGCAATGTTACAGCATTTTTCCCATCGCGATACCAAACCCAAAAACTTTTGATCTTCGTCCAATGCTTCGGTCGTTGACACACGCAATTTTTCATACTTCAGAATGGCTGAGCTCTCCTTTAGCGCTGCCGTTGCCAACAAACCAATGCGTTCGATGCTTTCTTGTCGCTTTGTTATCAAGCTCACAAATTCGTTCATCAAATCGACTAGTTGTGGATTTGCTCCGGCTGCCCATTTCAATCGTTGATTTATAGCGGTGGTTAATACGGACAACTCATCCCGTTGCCGTCGCACGCTTGATTGGAGTGTGATTAGGGTTTTAGTGGTTTCATCCAGCTGTAACATGATTGTGGCACGGTTACGGGTTGGTTTTATCGAAAATCCAGTTTGTTTGGTGAGCGCTTCTTCGTACATCCAAAAGTGTGCCGTTAATATCAACTGTGAACGCAGCAACGTATTCTGTTGGCAAGTCACTTGATTCTGAATATTTTGTATGGTGCATAGTTTTCGCCAGGCACCATCCAAATTCCAACAAAGCGTTGTTGCCTGCGTTTGAATCATTTTGGGTATTTTTTCGCTTCGAACGTATTTGTCAACCGATTTACGACACAATTCCTCCATGGATACAACGCTTTGGGCACCCACATCGACCATATTTATTTCGCTTTCGACATCAACATTTATGCCATGCAATAAATCGCACAATATCACGGTCACACAATAGGATTGTAAACCAAACATTTTACGCCAAACAAAATCGGTCAAATATTTTCGTAGCGGTCGACACAGTTGACTGTCCTCGATGTACACTGGATTCATGCCGGCCGATTTGAAAGAGCAGGCGATTTGTAGGATCATAGTGAAGAATTCAACCATTGCTTCGATTTTTTTGACGAAAAAGATTTCCTTCAAGGTGACACGACTATCGGAACTGAGAACGGTTGACTGAAAAATTGGAAACGAATAGAAAAAAATCGAATGATAAATGAGAAAAACTTGAATGAAAAATCCAGAGAAAAAAAACGAAAAAAATGAGAAAAAAACGTCAACATGTTTGGCCAATGAGAAAACATTGACGAATTCATGCACGAATTTGTCAGAAATTTATATTCAAAGCAAGCCAAAACGATAATCAAAACAGAAAAATGCAAATAAGAAGAACAAGGAAAACTCAACAATAACAACAACAAGAATAATTTGGTATTTCTTACCGCTAGCTGTATAGAATTTTTTATTTGGTCAATTTTCCGCTGATCGCCCAGAAAATTTAGGTCCTGAACACAATCGATTAGTCGATCATACTCATCGTCAAGCTTTTCGAATAATCCATTGATGCGAAGGAATAGTTTTGACCCGATTTCGTTACCACTTTGCTCCATTTGCGCTTTGAGTGCATTCAATTTTTGTCGCAGCACAGCCACATCATCGGATGCTTGATGAGTAGCTGCTTCAGCATTCGCCCCATGTCTCAAATGCAAATACAAATTGTTCAATAGCTCTGGAATGGTGTGTAAACTCTCTTGCAGGCTCGATAATGCTGAAATCATGTCCAAAACGCTTTGTTTTTCGCTGATAATGCCATAGAGTACATCGTTGAGAATCGTTAAAGAAAATTGTTCGTTGAACTCGCGCAAATTCTCGTGAATGTTCTGTATTTCGCGTAAGCATTGTGCAGCACATTTGAATTGGTCGGTCAAGGTTTCTGTCGCATGATCCCGATGAGCCTTTTCAATGATTGATGCCATTTCGCACATGATTGCCGAATGCGCATACAATTCGTCTAAGACCCAATTTCCATTGAATGTTAAGTCGACCATGTTGTCTGCTGAACTTGCGGCCGCATTTTCCATCAACAAAAGTCGCTTATTCAAATCGCATAATATCGTTATCGTGACACAATGCAGGGCTAGCACATTGTACTTCTTTTCGGTTGACAAAGTGTTTTGGTTTTGGAAAAAGATGCGAATCGAATTGCGCGCATCTTCGAATAGATTTGTGTATTGCATGATGTTTACGGTTGTGCTGCCATCAATTACTGCATTGTCCGTTTCAACATTCAAACGCTCGAGTAACTTTTGCAGCTTGAATTCACCGTCTCGTAGCGTTGTCTGCAACGAATAGGAGAACGTAATCACCTGTTGTACGGGCACTTTGTTGTTGGCATTCTTTCCGATTGTTGCTTGGAATTGTGTGACAATATCACGACAATCCTGAACTGATTGATGTTCCGCCAGATATTTACACCATTCCGCATACTTGATGATACGGTGCTGTGTATGCACCGACGGTGGATGATACCGTGTTATTGCGCCATATTCCACGAGTGATTCGAGTGATTTTTGAATGGTGGTAATTTGTTTTGTTACCAGCGTATCAAGACCCGAGCTTAGCTGGCAACTTTGCACATAAATCGGTTTTTGTGCTGCTGTATCGAGGAATTCTTTAACCAAATCAAAAGCATGATTCGTTGCGGTGACCTTTAGCAATGCCATCAATTCGTTTAATTCACTCAAATGCTCGGCTATCTTGTTCGCTTCGATGGCCTGCAAACAGTTGTGATAATCTATCATATGCTTGGTACATTGTGACATTCGATCGACCAATGCACGTCGACAACTGTCGCATTCGTCTTTTTTCTGCTTGTAAATGGTGTAGCGTTGTGCTAGAGTGCCCAACGGATGACTGCCCAATGCTGAGTCGAGTTGCATGGCTTCAGCCACCATCGCAGCTTGCTTGGCCAACAACATTCGATTCGCCTCCAACGATTGCAAACACAAACGCTGCTGCTGCAAGCTCAGCAAATATGCCTGCACTTGCTTTAATTGATTGTAGAAACCATCTCTGCAGAAACAGGGAGAGAAAAAACAAAAGAAAATGAGAATGAGAGAGAGAGAGAGAGAGACAAGGAAATTAGAGCAATATTTTCACACTCTGATTGCAGAACCTCAAATTCAATTTGGATTAAACGAAATCGCTACGGTTTTCAGTGCATCTCTAAATGATTCCATTAAAGTGCTAACCGTTTGCTGTTGGTAAACTTGAACTTTCCCCCCCACGAAATCAATTCGATCTTAACGCTATTTTACTGGGAAAATTGCAATGAAAATGACTGAAAGCATTGAACATAATTGATAGTGTTTATCAAAATGCGCCATTCGCAACACAAACTATAATGGTGATTTCCGTTGTGGTTTTTCCACATTTTCTCTTTTTTGCCTTCGCTCTTTTGCACATGCCATTCACCGGTAGTTTCAGTACATTGTGATCAAGTGCTGTGCTGTGCTGTGCAAAACAAACGAACAAACATAAAAAAGAAACTACACAATGCATTTTCCCGAAAGCCATCCAACCGAAACGTTACTGAGCTAAAACATGTTTCCGTCGCAGTCAGACATTTTACGGAACCTCATAAGTCGTTATTTCCTATGCGAACAACAAGCATCGTACTAGAATGAGACGTTCGTGTAGTTGTACCTCATTTAAAATAACAAACCAACAATATGACATTTCGTTTTCTGCACTGGAATAATAATAATAAACACATTTCCATGCTTATTCCACTCGAAAAAGCACACAGAAAATCATTTGCTTTTTGCCCGGCGAAAAATGTAATGTAGAACAAAGGACTGTTTGACAAACGGAATAAAGAGAAAGAAAGAAAGAGAGAGAGAGAGAGAGAGAGAGAGAGAGAGAGAGAGAGAGGAAACATGAGACTAATATGAACGTTGGAAGAGTAAATGGCTCTTGGCTACGGATTGTAAATGCTGTAGCAAAGTTTTATCGACATTAAAGACGAACAAAGCGTAAGCAAAATAGAGAGATTGGTTGACTGCGCTGTGTTGTCTAAAGCATAGTTAATTCGACATTGCGTTTGTGCTGCGATTTCAAACGACCAAAGAAGCAAAAATCTGGTCGATTTTGTAGAATTAAAATCGTAGCATATCATCGAATCGCTTGCGGCGAACGGCTAATATAAAACAATGTGTGTCTTATTACAAATGAACTTGACGGTTTTGATGCTTTTTTTCGATTTTCTCTGTTTGTTTTTTCCTCCTTTCTTCTTTCGGATGTTTTGCCCGCGAGATTTGCGGGGAAAAAGTACACGGTATTACAATACGGCCAGTTATCCAGTTGTCTTAATTAGATTGGATACACACGTCAGTGCGAAGGAGAGAATCTTTCGATTTCCGCAAAAAAAATGAAAACTTCCAGCCGTTAGTCAGTTTTGAACATGAACATTTGAAGAGTGAAGCACAATACTTTCGGAGAAAATTCCATGTTCTAATTAAACTAACACTGTAGAAACGCACATGACCTTTTCATTAGTTTATGCGACAGTCAAAGAGAACAAAAAAAAAACAGCATTTAAACGGTATGCCTAATTTGCTGGGGTGAACGTGATGAATTGGCTTTTCTTCTTGTTGTCTCGCGCACCACACACACATTTCCAACATAAGAGAATCGTGAGGTGTATACCTCGATAAATAATAGAATTCTATTTCTTGTGAAAACCATATCATGAAAAACTGACCTATTTTGCAACCAGTCCGGTTTGAGTTCGGTGAATTGGATGATAAGTGTATCTCGTGTGAATTCGTCTTGCATTTGTTTACGTGCCGTTTCAATGCCGAAAGCCATTTCAGTAGCACCGAGTGCGACAACATTGTTGTGACGATCCTTTTCGTTGGCCATCTGTTGCTGATGGTGTCGATTTGATGATGTTGTTGTTGTTGCCTCATTTGCGCCCCCGCCAATTGCCGTATCTTCAGCAACGGCCCAATCAACCAACGGATCATAAACAAACGCTTCCAATAGTGTTAATAATGTCTCACGTCCCTTTTTCAGTGTTTTTAGGACATGTTCGCACGCCAGCCGAAATGTGCCCTGAAAATAAAGCAAAATACCAATTTATCGTTAGATTCCATTTTATAGTCGTTTTTCGAGCATGAACCCTTCTCAGAATATATATATATGATGGTATTTTTAGGTTTGATTCGCCTACAAATCGACGAAGTCCGTATTTACGAGACGCTGCATTTAGAAAACAATTTCATTATTGGAGTGTATATCATCATGTCTTCGAATATGTCTCCAGTAACGATCTTGAAAGATAACTAAAGTGTCCGCCGTTCGCTTTTAATTACTCCATTTGGATGTCATCGACATGGCTTTCGTGATTCATGCGGCTTTCGATGAAAAGCGTCGTAATTGAAATATCTCAAAGTTTTGTTTTTCTTTTCGTCTTCATACATGCTTTGCACAGGAAAAAATGCATTCCGTTCGAGACACAACAGCATTTATGTGTGAACGTCGACTTTGATGTGGTTTCAACATACTGTTATAACATAACTTCGATGCGAATGAACATTTAATCAAAAGCGTCTTTTTATTGACATATTAACTTGGCAAAAATGCGATATGGAATGTTTCTCTGTATCGAATTCATCATGCGAATGCTTGAAGATATAAATTTATTGTTTACATTTTGCAAGCAAACGAAATGAACACATATATTACGGTTCTATTCAATAAATAATGCATTTTACGGTTGCAAAGCAAACGAATAAGCTCATATTGACAACCACAATACTACTGTTTACCGTGCGCGGTCTTCGTTTAGAGGCAACGGTGTTTTCACAATAAATATTTGATTTGAATTTGATGTGCTTTGTGTCCCCCGGTTGAAGTGGCATAGTGAACTTCAGATGCGAACGTCTTGGACACCAATTCCCCGTTCGAATCACAAGCAGAAAGATTAAAAGAATCATTTTTTACGTGAAAAATGTGACCGATGTCGATGTTCGTTTGAGTGCCATAGCAACTCTGGCTGGAAAACACTCAAGCAGAAAACAAATGAACCAGGCGAGAAAATGTCTCTTTAACCCAATTTTAAACGAATACAGGTGAACGTCCAAGGCTACATTGTTCAGTAGAGTGTGTAAGTGTATGCTGTTGAATTCTCCCTTGAAAAACCTCCCATCCAAATGTGTGTAAATTTGCGAAACTCAAGGCATAATACCAGAAAGATTGTAAAAAATTGGATTGGATTAAACGAATGTGGAAGACATTAAGTATGACAAATTCCAGCAGACAGTCAATTACATTATTGCTCAAGTGAAATTGTTTCTGTTCAACAACCAACGAACGCAAAAAAGAAAGTTTAATGCATTTCGCACTTCACTTAATCGTATTGCGTTATTTTACCGGAAAAAAAGGGAAATGCTAAAGCGGAGATGGATCGCTGCGATTTATTCGATGAAGAAAAAAAAAACTGAGTAAAAAAGGCACTAATATCGCAAACAAATTCCACATTCAATGGAGGAAATGTCAAGAACGATTAGGGATAGCTAGAAGGGAGAAGAAAAACGGATCATCTTTAATGCTAATATTGGTTGGGAGCCACTGAGGTGGATTTAACAGCATGTGTGTGTATTCATCCCATCACATGAGCGTCGAGACGATAAGATGGATTTTTATGAAGCAATTTAGCGCTACGTGTCACTCATGATAATGTGTGGTAATTTCAATTCATATTTTGTGTTAAGCGATAAACCGAACAGACCGAACAGCAACCGCGGCAGTAGCACGTGAATAAATGTGGGGATAATCTGCTAAAAAAGGAAAGAAAAAGAAGTCTCGAGCACACATGCAAGTGAATTGCAAAAAGCAATAAAAATCTTAGTAGATCTTGGACATAAAGCGAATTTCATTCATTTGGTTGAGTGAACACAACGTGAAGTGTGTCCGATGCTTGCACGTGTCGCCTGAAAAAGCAATGAATGACCATTTCTCGGTAATAACCTTAGTCCGCAGCTATTTGTGAAATTGGTTCTGATACCAAACACAAATATTATTGTTTTCGATTTTGGCATAATTATTTATTACGTTCTGTCTGAACTTGACCATCAAGAGAATGAACATAATTCCAATTCATAGTAAATACACAAATAATTGTGCGGCATCGTGTTTACTCCACAATGGCCGACAGACATGGCAAATAAACATTTATATATACACCCAAATCCTATAAAATATCGGCGCGCACTTCTGCCAAACCAACGACTATCTCTCGCTTTCGTCGCTTTTGCACAACAGGCGGAAAAACAATTCAACTGACTTTTCAGCGGGAAATTTTATTCAGAATTGTTTGTTTACTTTGGTCAGTATTGAGAAAAGCTCGATGTTTGTATTTTGTGCCAATATTTTGATCCACTCACAAAACAAAACGTTTTCCAATGGAATGGTCACCCAATCGAATGACCGCCAATCGGATACATTTCAGTTTTTACTTCTGTTGAATGCCAAGATACATTAAATAATATTACGGATTACAAAAATAGCCATTTTAAGTCAGTGTGGTGGAATGAACGAACACTTGAAGCTGTTATTTTGGATTGTTAGGATTCGGCGATGATGCTTTCGGGTACATTCACATCAGGCGAATCGTATCGATATAAATACCGGTTTTTGTTTTATAACAACGCCTTCGGCACATCAAAATAGCATTACAATGCCCTAAAAACACTCTTGAGACTGGACCAGTATTTTTAGAATCGTTTTTTTTTTCTCCATAAATCCAATTGTCTTCGGCTTCATGAGAACCATAGAGAGACGAAAAAGATGCGATATCGCGAAATTTATGGAGGCAGATATTCAGAATGACGCTTCTTCATAACAACATAAAATCATAAATTTGCACATCGTGTGCTGTTTTCTGCTTTTGCCAATTATGAAATAAATTTTATGCCCAATATTTTGCTATATTAAAAGCGGAATCATTTACGGTTGACGTCATGATTTTTAATTATTGTAATCCTCAGGTTTCAACATGAGTGATAAGTGAGAGAAAGCTCGAAGCGTGTGCCGTTGATGACGTAATTATCGCTGCGTCAATGCCAATTTTTGCAATTGCCAACTAAAATTCCGACGCGGTTCGAAGAATTAAAGTTGGTCTGTCGCTATTTTTGGCCATTTTCCTCCGCCTTCCCTTTTGTTACACAACAACTGGCTGCTTGTCGACAGAATCGCTTGTTTGAATTTCAGTTTACACCCGGATTTTTTTTACGACATTTGACTGTCTGGTTTGTTTTGAAAACGATGCGACTGTCGGTCGACTCATTTGTCACAGAGAGCTTACAACCAGTCATAAAGCAACGCTGTCGATGTCATCCATCAACGAATCCGTATTTTATGGTTTTCGTGATTTCGATCGAGATGCGATAACGGATGGCTAGACACATCTACTTGTTTATATGCCATTTATGGATTTAATTTACTGGAACAATACGCAATCACTTTTACTTTCAAAACCAAATCACTATTATCATTTCATTTCCCGTTCCGAACGATGAAAAAGGAGATAGTTCTCAAAATATCCACTACATTTATTGCAATGACGCGATTTTATAGCGGTTATTCGAAGCATGAGTTGGGTCGCGCGATTCAATTGCATTGGATTGAACCGTTTTTTTTTCATAATTTGATATACTTCTCTCGTCTCCCTCATTGAAAGTTGACTTTAAAATTCGTCGTAAAAACTCATCGAGTCGCTGTTCATCACTCGAAACAATCCATAAAGTATGTACATTATAAACACAAAGAGACGACCGACCGCGCTTGGTTCGTGATTACAATCGCAACATTGTTTGATTTGTATGTTTAATTTGGATCAATGTTCACATGAAATATTCAAAATTGTGAATCGTTTCATGCATATCAAATGAGGGAGGGACTTGAAAAGCCGGGTGGAAATATTGTAAATCGCATTGTTTGTTTATTTGACTCGCAACTTTGGTGGCTTAATGAAGAATCCGTGGCAAGCTTATCACAGCTTTAAAGATTGTTTCGTTGACCATTTTGATGGTGGCCACTTACCACTTGATAATTTATTTAGCAAATCAGATCCAAAGTCTCTTTTCACTTAGTTTATTATGGGTGCATCGACATGCTTTCAAGTATAAGATTTTCATCTCCTTAATAATTTGGTCACCTTGACAACTCACAATTTTTGAAACAAACACGACGAGTGGCTGACTGGCTGTTCATTTTTCAAATGAATCTCTTTTTCGCCGGAAATTCCTTGATGTTATTAAGAAAATTGGTGCTTTCAGATGAAACATCGAGTGTGATTCGAAACGATTAAAAAAAATGGCACACGAAACTTCCAGCCTTGTTCCATAAACGGTTGATTATTAATCTGCTTTGAAGGTAGGTTGAAAAATGAAGTTGATTCCATTTAAAAACACTCTCAAGAATTTTCTGGGTCAATTTCATTATATGTAGCAAAAAAACGAATTGCGCGCATCATGATGCATTTGACTTCCTTACCGTAAAATATATTATGCGTTGAAGTGTATGGAAAAAGATACTTTTACGCAGAAATCGGAGACATCGAAAAAAAATCATCATATTGAATTAATTTTAGAACAACAATTTTCCTTTGTGACTTGCATATATCCAAGAATAAATTGCTTTGATTCTCCATTGGCAACAGTCAAATATTCTCGATGCCAACACAAATGGCACAAAAACACATCCAGACAATACACAGATTTGTATGTGATGAATTATTGACGAAGAGAAATATTCAAATCATGACTGGGTGGATTACGATTCTAGTTCGAATTCGACATCGAGTTGCTGTAATGAATTCGCTAAGTTTGTCGCGAAAAGCATCAATTTCTTTGCTCAGCTATTGATTCATGCGAGTTTCACGAATGCAAATTTCAATGTGAATAACAAAAAGATTTGATGAATAAAACAGCAAAACATTCGCCGAGCGTATGCCCGAATCGACCAACGTTAATTCACTGAAAATTATTTGATTTTCAGTGCGCTTGTTAACACAAAGTCAAGTATGATACTTTTTTTTCTGTGCTTGCACA